TCTCCGACAACACATCTAGGGAGACAAGCTTCGTAGTACGAACTCCCTCAGCAAAAAATGATTCAGAGAAGACAACGGGAGGGATGAAGGTGTGAACAGACGAATTGCTCGGACCAGTCGGCCTTGCAGCTTGGGCATGTTTCTGTTTCCTCTCCCTTTTGGATTCTTTCTCCTTGCCTTTATCTTTTCTTTTCTTTGGTTGACCTTCAAAAAGGGTTAGATCTTGGGGAGGGAGACAGGCTTTAGCCAAGTTTGGAACTTGGTCCAGATGAGGGTTCTGGTGTTCTTCAGCCGAGGTACCTTCAGAAGCTTGCTATCTTAAACCTCGGCGATAGTTCACACTAAGCCCTCTTTGAGCCATTATACCTACAATGAACACAAGAAGTCAAATTAATATAATTCAGTATCCAAAGATTACATTACAAAGACAAGGCATACCATCCATGTCCAAGCGAGGTTAGGGGAACTTCAGCAAAAGGATAAGGGCTCGAACAGGAAGCTCTCTTGGAATAGACTTCAAATATTCTAAAGCCGATAATTCTTCAGCCGATAACATATCCTCTGGAAAATGTCATACTGACGAGGTACTTGGGTCCAATGAAAAGGGAAAAGAGGATTATTTTCATTATTGAAAAAATATTTTCTACCGACAGGGTGCATGGTTACTTTAAAATAGCCTATTTTAAAACCCTTGAACAATGCAGTATAAGGTTTAAAAAGTGACAGTTCAGCCTGCCTTATTAACGACACCCATCTTGCTTTGTATGAGGGATGTGTACAGAAAAAATGAAGAAATAAACTTACACTAGACTCTATATAATAAAATTTACATAAAATTTTAAAAGCTTCCATTGTCGCCCACTCATTCGGATGAAGCTGTGTCGGTGCAACATTCAAGACCCTCAGACACCCATTTGAAAGTCATCAAAGGGAAGTTTTATACCTAATTCCCTAAACATACACTCATATATAAAGAAGGTGTCGACCATCTCGACACCATCCCCTAAGAATACAAGGTCGGGATTGCTGAATCCATCCCCTCGGCAAACACTTATGGTTATAGGATAAGGATCCAAAGCCTCTGATAATGATATATCATAGTGGTCTACAAAGGCCTGGAGACGTTTATTTTGTTGGAAACGTGAAAAGTACGCGGCCACTTCACCGTCCACCAACTCAAAGCCAGGAATTGTACAAGGGAGAAATGTCGGTCTTTCTCTTAGGGGGCTAGCATTTGGTAACGATTCACTAGACTCAGAACCATCATTGACATCATCAGACGATTCGGCATTGCCCTCACACTCCCTAACAATCGTCTCAACTTCATCCCTAACATCATTTGATCTTTAAAAAATTTCTTCAAACCTTTCGGTCCCTCCCAGGTCCCCAACCTTAATAGTTGTAGTCGATCTTGTATGGTCTGATAACGAATCCTTCCACTCGAGGGAATAGGCCATGAGAAGAACAAGAAAAGAAGAGAAGGGAAAAATAAAACAAATGTACCTTAAGGTGTCGAGAGAAAGAAAAAGCTTCTAACAAAATAATTAGAGTACACCCCTCGATTTAGAGTAGAAAGCGTATATGATGCCTAAACCACCACATATTTATAGAACATAGGGTTTCGAGCAGATGAAGAGTCGCACCCTGTTCTAACCGTTAGATCTTTCTCAGATTAACAGATATAATCAACCAACCTTTCATTTTAGAAGCATGAACCACGAGGAAAAATCCTAAAATTCCTGAAACCCTAATTTGCCGAAACCCTCATTTTTGAAAACCTTTAGCAAAGTTGAGCCAAACATATACTTGATCTTAATGCCAGTAAAGAGAACCCAAATATCTATTCGGATGAACACTGACATATCATTTTCAAACCAAATGCGTTATCAATCAAACCACATCATTTTCACCTACATGAAGAGAATCATAAACACCAACAAAAAAAGGTCAACGGGTCTTAACAAGCCCTTAAGTCGTACCTCTTCGGGCTTGGGGGACTAGTGTATTAGATAAGACACCACTTAGTCTCAATGATAAAAAAAAAGGAATCTGAATACCCCTTCGACCTAAATAAGACGAGTACCCTTCGAATCAGATTAAGAATGAATTAAAGGATAATTAAACCAATTAGAATAAATAATCATATCATTATTTACTTGATTGGAAGGCTAAAGTTAGGGTTAACCCACAAAGCCTATTAGCTCATAACACTGCCTATAAAAGGAAAGTAAGAGATACAAGTAAAGGGTTGACTTTCAAATATTCAAATAGCATTTATTGCCTAAACCGATATCTGACTTTATCATTAAAGTGTCTTTTGCAGGTACATCCCCCACACGTCATACAGGAAGAAGTTAGAGATACTTGTAGGGACATTGTCTGACTTCACAGAAAATGAGTTTCTAGAAGACTAGTGTATCCCGTACAAAAACAATACTTAATTTTAAAAGTAAAGAGTTATTTGATTAAAAAAAAAAACTTGATTAAAGTTATTCAATTCATTAAGATTAGAAAACTAAAAAATATTTGTATTGAAGTTGATTCTAAAGAGACTATTCATTATATTTTGTCAAAGTATGATGTACTGCATTCTCATTTTCTTTTAGTGCATTATATTTGTTGTTTATTACATAAGTGTAATTCTATTAGTTTGGCACACATGTTTGGTGTGCTAATAGTCTAGCTCATATGACTTTCCTGCTGATTATAATTTTTTTTTCATTTGAGAACAATAACTCTCTTTTCTAGCTCCTTTGTTAAGGGCGGTTTGGAAGGTGAAAAAAGAGAAGGCTTAAAAGGGATAAGGAAAGAAAAAAAAATTTGATAGTCCAAAATCATGGGGCAAGATATAAGAATGCATACGTGCCATGTTATTTCTAGTTGAGACATGACAGAGAGGGGAAAGAAGATTAAATTCTTTCTTTCTTTGGATGTTTTATATTAATAAGCATGGTGTTCAATCTTTACTAGTAATCTTCAACAAACAAATCATCACCAAATAATTAGATATATTCAAGCCAAAGGGTAAGTTAACTCTCTGGAGTGCCATATCAATTCTGATCCAAAGCAGTGCTTAAAAAATTAAGTTACATGCAATGCAAGAAAACTTTGAAATTTGAAAGTACAACACGACCAACAATTGTTACAACAATGTACCTCAAACCAACTCTAGCAACTTGAAAACTGAACATTGGAGATATTTTAAATCCTTAGTATGACATATCTGTCATCAAAAGCTAAATGTTTATACATTTTATGTATATTTGTGCTTAATTTCCAAACAGAACTTCTTTTTATGTCATACATCTCCTATGCTTAAAAATATTAAACAATCATGATGACCCACCACGCAAGAGCAGTTTGGTAACAACAGAGATTCCTTTATATGAAGAAAATAAAGGAATTTGACTCCACATGTCTATACAGCTAAACTAGTTAGACCTACAAGTTAAGGGAAAAGAACAGAGTAAGTAATAGCATCAGTACTTCGATCCTACAATTGTTTAGCAGAATAATGCTTCTGTGTAACAATAAACCACAGCTAATGCTTCTGGACTCCTATCTCAAACAACAAATAGCATACAAAATCATTAAAAAAACTCTCTTTTCACTCCCAAAGATCCTCTTCTCTTGATGTTTCTTCCACCATTTTCCTTCTCTTTGGATTTTTTTTTTACTCCACCGTCTTCTATCCCTCTAAATGTTCCCTTGTTTTTTCTCTTCTTAAAAAATTACATTTTTATAGGGTTCCACTTGTTTATAACAAAAAAATGCATTTAAAAAAATTAGTGTTATTTTTTGTTTTAGTTAATTCCTCTAATTTCTTTTTGTTTCAGGTTAATTCTTAAACTTTAATTTTATGTTTTAGTTTAAACCCCTATTTTATTAATGTGATCATAGAGACAAAATGGGAATTAAGATATTAAATTATTAAAATGAGAACCACCAGCATACAACTTATTTTATACATGTGATCATAGAGACACAAGTAGACTTAAACCACACTAAACAAAGTTTATTTTGAAAATAAACTGTATCTATTGATTGAATTGTGAGTAAATGTACGTGAACATACATTGAATTGAGAAGCTAACTGTCATATACATAGAGCTACTATTGATCACAGCTAATGGGATTCTTGTGGTTGGAGAAGATAACGCATATATTTTCATATTTTTTTATGAGTAAATAGTTATTTCAAATGTAACATAAATATTCAAGTAAATATTCTTATAGCCTTGTTGTTAACTCTCAAACTTCCATTTATATGTACTCCAATCCACTTGATGTGAGAAGGAGCTTTTTGTTAATTGTTTGGTAATGGAGTTTCGTTCGGTATACAAAGACATCAACATAGCCATTCGTTAGCGAATAAAAAAGAGATTCATTTTATCTTTTATTTATTTATTTTTACTTTATTTACATATATGTTAGATTAGTGTAATATAATTTTTATATTACCATCAAGGTATACATCTTACCACACTTTCTCAAACACATTTCTTATTATTGGTTAAAAATTATTAAAAACTACAAAAGAATGAAAAATAAACATTAATTTAGAGTGAAAAACTGTAAACTTGTATATTTTTACAATTTTTAATAAAATTTAGTCAATAATAAAAAGCATGAAAATATGTTACTACCATTTTTTTAAGTATATTAGCTTTGAAAGTTAATTTTTTAAAAGTAAAACATTTGATATGATTCAGATGTAACATAAGTGTACTTATAATTTTAAGGTAAGACTAATGAGGCAATGAAATGTGCAAGGTCAAATAGTTTTGCCGCTCGGCGCTACTAACAAAAGGGACATTGCAATAATTATCAAAAAAAGAAAGGGGAGGGGGTGGGGATAGTAAAGCAAAACATATATGTACTATTCACGAGTATTGGTCTCAGCTCAAACCATCATCACTCTTCTCATTATATTAAACCTAAACTACCATAGTTCAAATATAAACAAAACCAGATTTTAAAAGACAAAAAAAAGGTCATAAAATCATAAACAAGGATGTCTTCAGATAACACATATATGCGGCAATTCCTATGAAAGGCAAAACAGCACGTTATTGTTAAAAGCTAGCTACCAAAAATATTCAAATTTTTTCAGCTCAAACAGCAGCTAGCACTTCATAACTTGCATGATAAGGCATAGAAATCACGAAACTTGAATAAGACCATATTAGACAAAATCCCCCCCCCCCCCCCCCCCCCCGTTCTAATACCCCATTTTCCACTAAAAATAAAAAGAAATAAAGAATCAAAAGCTGAACAACATTTGAGAGTCATCATCCACATTTTCACTGACAATGATATCTTCACTTCTATCTGCTGTATCAACCTTGCTTGACAATTCACCATTGCCAATGGTACCATCAAATGAGTCAATGAGTGATGCATAAACTTTATCTTTACTAAATTTTGACTCCCTCAACAGTCCAATTAAGACCTCAGCACTTGCCATTTCATCTTGGTCCTGGCAAAGCTTAAGGAATGCAGACAAGTTTAAGGGCTTTGGTCTCCAACTCTTTGAACCATCAGCAGCCATAAAAGCTTCTTTCAAGCAGGACAGGGCCTCAGAAATTCTCTTATCTGCAATATGGCCCTCAGAAAGAATCTCCCATGTATTTGCATTTGGTTTTCCACCACCTTGCTTCAGCTGCTCAAAGAAAATCAAAGCTTTTTCTGTACTGCCTTTTTTAACATACCAGCCTAGGAGAAGATTTCCTATTCTAGGATCATGAGTAGTCCTTACTGAAGCCCATTCCTCATATAGCTTCGCTGCACCCTCAATATCATCCAATTTAACCAGAGACGAAATAATGGCATGGTATCCCAAGTTTGGTATACTTGGGAAAATTGATTTATAGGTATTCCACACACGATAAACTTCATCTTTTTTTCCAACACTTCCATATAAACTCAGGAGATAATGAAAAGGTATTCTATCTCGACCTTTAATTCTACCCTCAACCTTTCGTAAGCACTCTTCTGCTTTTTCATTCTGATCCATCCTAATATACATCGAAGCCATTGTGCTGAATGTAGTCCAGTTCGGGACAATGGCAGGATCCTTTGCCATCTGTTCAAACACTTGTTCCATCTTCTCTATTGATCCTTGAGATCCACAAGAAGATAACCAGATGTTATATGTATAGATGTCTAGCTGTATGCTTTTTTCCGTCATTTCAGAAACCAGCATATCAACTTTATCATATTCTTTAAGGTTCATGTACAGAGTCATCATTACGTTAAATGGTAGAGAATGTGTTACATATCCTTTACTCTTCATTGTGTCAAGTAAAGATTCTGCCTTTTCTTTCAATCTAAAATGCACGTATACATTCAAAAGGGCACCATAAGTCCTCCTATCTTTTAACTTATCAATCAGACTCAGAAAAAACGCTTCAGCACTAGAAACGCCACGAACTTTGGCAATTAGATCTAACTGAATTGCTGCATCACTCTCAGAAACTCTAAACCTCTCTGGTCTATTGTTCATCCAATCATATACCTGCAACATTTGCTCGCTCCTTTCAAAAAATTGTACATGGCTGATATTAAGACATTTGAATTAAAAGTATACATAATCAGAAGTTAGTGATTTAATAATTCCATACATTCCAAAGGAAGCATGCGTTCATCCAATCATATACCTGCAACATTTGCTTGCTGCTTTCAAAAAATTGTACATGGCTGATATTAAGACATTTGAATTAAAAGTATACATAATCAGAAGTTAGTGATTTAATAATTCCATACATTCCAAAGGAAGCATGCCATTAAATAGAGTATATAGGTGCCAAAAATGGGATTCCAGGTTATGCAAATTTTACTGGCAGTTTTTGCAAATCTGGAATTTATTCAAGTAAGAATGTTGTTACAGATTATGTAATTGTAAATGTATAGTTCCCCATAAAACCAAGTGCCTTATATAAATGGTAAAGAAAGAAAGTCAAGGGAATAGAGCCTCTATGGAATTAATCAGGTCTTATTGTACTCTCATATAGTTCATCCCTACTCCTTTCCTTGGGTTATCTTTGAACCACACTGCAATTATATATGTTTTGATGGCAACATCCTATATCTAAAAAGGGAGGAAGCAATATTTGTTTCTTCAGAGTGAATACTGATAAGGGAAAGCGAGGAGAAAAAAGGTGAATAAAAAGAAGGAAAATTTTTCTAAACTTGCAGAAAATATATCAGATGTTTCCTTGCATCCAGTAAGACAGAATTATTGAAGATAGAAAGTAAGACAAAAGCTTCTTTGGGAAATCTTTTGTCTTCTTTATGAATTGTTGTGGAGAAGAAAACCTCAATTTACAGATTTTTCATTTTCTAGCTCATACTATGTGAGAAGGAGTAAGAAGCACACCAGACTCACTAGGCCTGAATCACTATTGTTTGTGTGGTATTTGTCTCTGTAGGCAGTTTTTGCAGTTATGGATTTGAGTGACAGTTACTGCATCGCATAATATATTTCAACTTAAATGACATGCAAAACTTAAATCAAATGGCAAAGCTATAAAACAAAATCCTCCATCATAATATTTCAACTCAAAAGCTATTTGAAGCTGGTTATCAACTGAACTTGAAGAGTGCCAGATATGCAGTATCACACAAATCTGTAGAATCACACTCATGTCATGTCACTATTAAAAACTAGAGACGAACCAAATTGATATTCAACCTCAAGGACCAGGAATTTACTAAAAGAATGCAATCTAAACCAGCAGAGTCCTAATGAAAAGGAAAAGTACTTGAATATCAACTACGCACAAAACCTAATGAAACAAATCCATACATACAGCCAACACTCCAACCCCCTCACAGCAAAACACATTCCACAACTCACAGAGCATCATTCAATTGTTCAAAACAGAAAATCAACACACAATAAGTGTTATCATACAATTTAGTGGTGACCTTTGCTGTTCAAGTCTTTGAAAGCACATAACTAAAAAATTGGATCCCAAAAATGCAATTTAGTACCAAGTTAATCCACCAATTTGACAACATGTAAATAATTTCACTCTCTAAATAACTAATTCGTATAATTGAAAACATTTAGACACCAAACAACACAAATTGTGACAAAAAATAAAGCACTTGAACATTATATTTCACCTCAAACAGCCAACACTCCAACCCTCACAAAAAACACATTCTACCATTCAATCTATCACAACAGCAAACCAACCCTCAAACCAAGATAACCCATTTTTAAAATAAATAAAACAATATATCAATAGTGATTCAGCAATAAAAATAAAAAGGTTTAAAACATACATTTAATTCCTGTAGTTGATATTTATTTACAAATTACTTCTTATACCTAAAAAAACTAAAGTTGTAATCCCTATACGAATATTGCTGTTCTTTATAACACCAGTAAAAGTTACTATACATTCTTTGTATTTTATTAACGGTGTTATAACAAATGACACCAAAACTTAATAATAGACTCGTGTACGAATTAAAACATAAGTTTTTCAAATGCAAGAACATCAACTAAAACATAATTTATAAATGTGTATCTATTTTATCCTAAAAAAAAACAACTTTTGAGCACCCAAATGAAAGAAGGTTGTTGTGAAGAGAGGAGATAAAGTACAGACCTGAAGGGCCTTTCCATATCTGCCATACTTCCTCAACTCTTTGACAACTCTTGAAAGTTCCCACTTAGTGAGGTGTTTGCCTTCATTTTCCCACTGATTCAAGACAGTGGCAGAACCCTCTTCAGGTTTTGCCATCAACGATATCTTTCTGTACACATCGTTCCACCGAACTATGGGTCTTCGCTCGTAGTCCACAGTGCCATAGCTGTGAATCTTGGAGATGGAACACGTCACCCAGAGCCTCTGGAAACATGACCTTTGCGTGTTACCGAGGGTGAGAGTGGAAGTGTGCTTCACGGGAAGTGGGAGAGAATAGGAGGTCGAAGATGAGAGAGGGAGAAAAACGTTTTGGTTGTGCAGAGTGGATTGAATTTGAAGGAGACTCATCTTCTTGTTGTTGCTGTTGCTGTGTATATGAGAGAAACTTGGACAATGTTTGAAGATAAATAGGTTTAGTTGGACTGAACTAGAACTAGTGTCAGCTTAGATTGCATCTTTCACCAAAATGTTGTGCTCAATAAACAGATATTTTTCTATTTATCTTCCACCGAGATATTTTTCATATTTGCTTTATATACTTTTTATTAAAAATTTACATTATTTTTTGTTAAAAAATTATACATTAACGATATTAATGGTAATGTTTAGGTAGTGTACTTCCACTACAGGAATGTCACTGTTGCTAAATATAACTTTAATCATTAGTATTCTAAACTTCTATCTTTGAAGAAAACAGTCTATAGAACATTTTTACACAAAGTAAACCTAATTTTGGCCTTCCACGCGCTATGTTAAATAGAAAATTTACTTCTTGCACATGTAAGAGCATGTTTAATTTATGATAATTTTAAACACATGTTTGATTGGCTCATTTTCTAATTTTATTTTCAATGAAAATATAAAATAGAAGAAAAAATATGTTTAGTTAAGTTAAAAAAAAACTTGTTTTTAAATTTTTAAAAAAAAATAAAAATACTTAAATATTTAGTCTAAAATATATTTATGATTTATTTTTTATTTCACCTTTCTCATTTAATTATACGGTTTTTATTATGATCAAGAATTGCTTGCCATAATAATTTCTTTTTATTTTTTTGTATTTTTTTCTTTACATTTGTTTTTGTCCTCCTTTTCCTTCTTTCATTTCTCCTGTATTTTTTTTTTGTAGTGACAAAATTTCTTACTTTAATCATTCTTACAAAGTTGAGTCTAAATTATTAAATTTATTTTTATTAAAATTAATGTATACATAAAGATAAATTTATAATAAAAAAACCTGTACAATAATTATATTTATATTGCATTTTTATTATTTTTAAATTTTAAGACGTATTAGTGATAGTATTTAAATTTTTTAAATAAATAGTTCATTAAAATTGACATTAATAAGAATATATATTATAATTTTTTTCTTATAAAAATTATTTATTAATAAAACATTGATGATTAATTTTAAAATTTATATAATAAATAAATAAACTCATTATAAAAAATAGCTAAACTAAAAACATTTTTAATGTTTTCTGTATTTGAAAATAGAAAATAAAATGTCAAAACAAACACATCTTTTAAACCTTGAAAATGAAGACTATTTCCACAAAATCAAAATAGAGAAATGAAAACAGGAAATGTTTCCTAAAATCAAATAGGCCGTTAACGTTTTTTTTATTTTCATTTTCATTTTCTGTTTTCACTTTAATTGCAAAACTGCCACTTTATTTTTATTTTTATTTTCATACACAACTTTTTTCTATTTTTACAGTATTTCTGGTACAAATCTTTAAAAACATGAAATAAAATTAACACAACATTTTCTGAAATCAAAGAGCCCCTAAGGTCTTCCAATTCTCTGTAGCAGTAACCTTCAAAACCTCCACAATAAATGACCTTTGTATATAATACCGAAAGTTATGCTCTAACAAATACTGTACACCAAAAACGATAATTGCTCGTCAAGCTTTTAGCAGCACTGGTGCAGAATTAAAAATAGCTCTCCTTTAAGAATATTTTTTGGCATTAATTTGAACCAAAAGGTTTTTACAGCATTAAGGAAGCTATATGTAATTCAAAAATACGATAGAGCTATTTCACAGAGGAATCATTGTTTGAAACGATACAAGAAAAAACTATTCTACCCATACATATATTAGCATCCTAGTTCTCATCGACTACTGAAGACAAGCAACTGTTAGTAATAGTGATAATTTCAACTTTACTCAAACTCGCTCTCCCACTCCCCATGGATCCACTGAGAAAAAAAACGGAGACAAACACCCTTCAAACATGATTAATTTCAAAGACTGGTACTAGACAAAGGATTAGGGGCAGCCAGGCAAACTTTTGTTGATAACACCCTTGTTTTCTAAATTTCCATGGACATACACTTTGGGCTCTTTAACCTGAAAGGGTCAAAAGCTATGATCAGTAAGTTTGGAGGGAATAAAGCATTTGTAGTTTGGGTTGGTCGCGAGTTGCAATTACAAACCAGTAACATCGGTGGAAAGCCAAATGTAAAACGGACTCTTGAGAACCCCTCTTCAGTAAATAGACATTTGAATCCATTGATCACAGGATGTTCACTGTTAAAATCAACGAGATCAGATATATGGGAAAATGTCATTGCATTGAAATGTGAAAAACCATTCATAAACTACCACTTCAAGATCTCAAGGCATTTATTTCATCTCTCTCTAACACATGCATTTCTACACACTCAAGCGCTGCAAATGACAAAAGACTAAAACTATGTTTGCAAGTTGCTGCTTAATTAGAAAGGGAAAGTTTGGAGGTTTTTATAAAGCCTCTAAAGCCCTCATAATGCTAGTTTTTTTTAGTCTCCTAATCTGAGAGTTTTTTCTCTCACTCTCTTATACTTTCTCACGATTATGATTTTAACTTTTTTTTTAAACATTAGTTTTTCAAGTGAGAATTTTTTTAAAAAATTTATAAAAATAATAATTTAAAATTATTAATTTTTTAAGAAAAAATATTTATTTTTTATTTTTTGTAAAAATAAAAAAATATAAATAAAAGATATAAAATATAATAATATCATTTATATAATTAAACCCTCTACTACTCTCCCTTCTAAATATTAAACATCCAAACAAGATAAAAGTCTATCCTCCTTCCTCCTCCCTTCCCCTCCCCTCCTTCCCCCTTCAAGCCTTTCTCTTTTCTCCTCTTCTAAACTCCCAAACAAAGCCCAAGTAAAATTTATTCATCCAAGTGCCTAATATCAATATTATGGCCATTATGCACACAATGCATGCTGCTGCAGCCTTGCCAACAACACGTTCTCTTCAAGAGGATCTAGCGTACAAAGGTTATCAGTTTTATTTCATACAGATGCTCACTTGACAATACTGACACTTTCTGTATATAGATCTCATTATAAACAAAGCATGTGCCATAAAATTTATATGTTTGTCAAGAAAAATAATGGAAATAATACTACTATCGACATGTTAATGGATAACTCACTTTATAAGAAAAGTAAAATTTCTTTGCTTAAAATCTTGCAAGTTAATTTCTTCTTCTTTAGAATACCTGCACCAGAGAATAATGCTGAAACTTAGCAAGAGAAAATAGTGGAAGATAATCTAGTCTGATTGTTGCAAACAATCAAGGAAGAAATAATGATCAAGTATATTGATAATACTTTATTAACACTTAAATCTTCCCGATAACACAGTATCTCAATCTTCTTGTTTATTTATTCATTTTATGGTTTGTTTAGTTTTTCCACAAATTTTCCATGTAGGCACCACAGACCATGTAAGCAGCATATGCAAACAATAATAATCATCATGAGAGTTAACAAATGTTAAGTCCCCTCCTAACAATTAAAATCCAAAATCAAACTTGCTACAGCAACGACTATTATAGAAGCCGCTTACGCATTGATATTTAAAGTAAACCCTAGAACCACAATGATGTCACATTTCAACTAGAGGTAAGGTGCTAAATAATGGACTTAAATAGGATGGGCAGGGCAAAAATAGACAATTTTCATTGTTTATCATTAATGTGATGAGAAATACATTTATTAGTCCTAAAAGCTCCAGCTCCTTGTCCCTATGTTCAGCAAAAGTTCAGTTAGTCAAATACAGCATGCTAGACGTGAGAAGGCAGATTACATGCTTCAGCAAGGTTATCAAATCATACTTCGGCCTCAACAGGAGGTAAGTATCGTACACTGAATTCTTTTAAAATGAAAAAATATTTAAAAGAAATTCCCTCTCCATCATCTCAAGGAGAAAACCAAAAAACAACATGCACATGCAAGAGAGGAGGATACAAAAAGATGTGCCAAAAATGCTCGACGACGTTTTTCTTTGCATTATTAATTGGTCAAAGAAGAAATTCTGATGATAATTGTGAAAACAACTTTTTATACATAAATATAGTTGATATGATTCCTAGTAGGACAATGAATATTAGAGAACTATAACTTCCATTGGATATTGAATCATAGATGAAGGCTGAGAAAGCCATGTCTTCGCTGGTCTACATAGATGATTTTAGTCAAATAAAGGTTTGTTTGGATCCATGCAAGAGTTAACCTGCCGTGTCTTTAATTCTTTAGATACTACAAAAGAAAGAAGTAATATATACCTCCACGGGAAATCACTTTCGCAAAAGCGAGATATCCCATTCATGGCTGAAAATGTATCAATGTGAACCCACTGTTCATTTGTATCATTATAAAAACCTGCCACAATAAAAAAAATCAAAAACACAAACAAAAAGTCCTGACAATGGACAGTATAGAAAAGACAAAAACAAGAAGCTCATTACCTAACTATACTATCGGTAATTTCTGTAGCATTCAATTTTGCATTTTTATTGAATATTTTCCCCCTCCTAATTTGAATGAGGGATTTTTCTGGATTGGAATTGTTATGAATAACTATAATAGACGTATTACGATTATAGTGTTTTAGTATTAAATAATGGGCTAGGCCCAGTAAGGTTACATATATATCCTTATAAATATATGGATCTCTAGATTGTAGAATATCTAATTCTAGCACACTAATCTGTCTCTACTCTCTATGCCCTCTCTATCTTAATTCTACATGGTATCAAGAGTCTTCTAAATTTTCTCCTTAGTTGCCACTGCTGCAAAAAAAAAAAAAAAAAAAAAAAAACTTCAGAAAAGGCCAACCATGGCTGCTGTGAGGATGAAAAATTTGTCGGGTGACCAGAATATGCAGTAATTCGACGTTTACAATTTGAGCGCGACATTTCTTTCTAGCCATTGAGATGAAACCTAGGTAATTTCATCACTGTTTGTGGATATACAATGTCTGAACGTGATAACCAAGATGTGCAGGATGCAAAGCACAAGAGGGCTGTTACAAAGATTGTATCTCTATCCAAACTTACCGATGTTAAGCTGGATAGAGATGGTATGAACTATATATAGAGTGAAAGTATTTGGTTGAGATTAGCTTGGATGGAATGGGAAAGGATAATCATTTGACTGAAACAGCAACTGTCAATTCTAAGGATGTTGATACATGGAAGATACATGACAAAAAAGATCCTTGCATTGCTAGTAAACTCTGTTAATAGGCGAATACAAACGATTATTACCCATTGCAAAACTATGAAGGAGTTGTGGGACTTTTTGCAACGTATTTTTGGAAAATTTGATAATTTGAATCAGTTGTATGCTCTCTTGCAGGAAGTTTATTGACCCAAACAAAATAAGCGAAAGCTAATGGACTTTTTTAGAGTTTAAGAAGCATACTGAGAAGATACAATCCCTTTTAGCTTGCAAAACTATTGATGAAATGATAGCGCAACAAAAGAAACTCATGACTTTGAGTTGGCTCTCCAGACTAGATCCAAAATGAGGTAGTTCAATCTCAAATTCTGTCAAGCAAGCACGTTAATAATCTTATCAAGGTTTTCTCCAAAGTTATGCAGTCTTCCTTTGAGGAACTCAAGAGCACTACAGAAAATGAGTCTCTTGACCATTCTGCCTTGGCAGCAGCATGGTAGTCGCAATGGTGGTAGAGGTAGTCGTGGCCGTGGTCATGGGCGTAATGCAGGTTGTGGTATTGTACAATGCTACAATTGTGGCAAATTTGGCCATTATCGAAATCAATGCACTCATCCTCTGCAGAATCAGCCGTTTTTTCACTCACAAGGTGATTCTCGCTTTGCTAACTCAGTGTCTCAACCAGATACAGCTACTCAAAAGAAAGAAGGATGTACTGTGCGTATAAGTGATGAGGAATTTATTCAATATACTCAGTTTCAGATTTTCCAACAGTCGTCTACATCCTCTGTAGCCACTTTTACTCAAAAAAGTAATACTACTGCATGTCTTTCCTCTTATTCCAAACATTAGATCATTGATTCTGACGCTATTGATTATATGACTGGGGATTTAGGTATCCTTTCCTCTTTTTATCTACCCAGTTCTCATTCTTCTATAACACTCACTGATGGTTCTGGTGTCCATATTAAGAACAGCGGGTGTACCACCTCAGTTTCAACCTTACCTTTATCCTCTGTTTTATATTTGCATCAATTCCCCTTAAATTTGCTGTCTATTAGCCAAATCACTTCAATAACATTCTTTTCTGATTCTTGTGTTTTTTACAATCCAATGACACAGAGGATTATTAGTAGAGGTAGAGTATCTAATGCGTTGTATCTATTAGAAGAAGAACGACTTCCACAAGTTTTTATTCCGTCTAGAAATGAAACAATGTCTCCTTTCCAACTTCGTTGCCGTCTGGGTCATTCATCTTTAGGAGTTCTTAAGAAATTATGTCCTAGTAGAGTCTAATTTTTATTGTGAGTCATGTCAGTTGGATAAACATTATCATAATGTTTATTTACCTCGTTTAAATAAAAGTGCTCATGCCCCCTTTGAAATTGTTCATTCTGTTGTTTGGGGCCCTTGTCCAGTTACTTCTAAATCTGGTTTTACATATTTTATTACCTTTGTAGATGATTATTCTCGTGTTCTGTGCTAAAATTAAAACTCAATTTAATACTTATATGCACATTATTAGAAGTGATAATTCTAAAGAATATTTTTCTGCATCCTTAACTAATTGTATGAATAAACATGGTATAATTCATCAATCTTCTTGTATTGTTACTCCACAACAAAATGGAGTAGCTAAACGTAAAAACCGTCATCTCATGGAGGTAGCCCGTGCTTTAATGTTTGAAATGAAAATTCCTAAACCTTTTTAGACTTATGCTATTCTTACTACTACATATTTAATTAATCGCATGTCATCATATATTACATGGTAAGATTCCCCACTCTATACTTTTTTCATCACAATTTTTCTTTTCTTTACCTCTTAAAGTTTTTGGCTGTACTTGTTTTGTATTTGATGTTCATCCTAAGGTAACTAAACTTGATCCAAAGTCCCTCAAATGTGTGTTTTTGGGTTATTCTCAGTCACAAAAAGGTTACCATTGTTTTTCTCCTGATCTTGGTTATTATCTCATTTCCTCTGATGTGTCTTTCTTTGAAAGTCTTCCATTCTTTAAGTCCTCATCTTCTAAATCCATATATGAGGTAGATGAACCTTTCTTAACTTAAACTCTTATTCAATCTCCACATCCTATTGCACCTTTGGCTCCTATTGATACAGGTTTCAAATTCTTTTAGCGGACATACTCTCACCAGCCAAAACAACCTTCAGATGATGTGCCCCCTATTACCAATAATATTCAAGATGATACTCAATCTCTACCATTATCTCCTCAAGTGTCAACAGATCATATGTATAACCTTTCTATTGCTATCTAGAAATATAAGAGATCTTGCACCTATCCTATTTCATCTTATGTGATGTCTGCTTATTTATCTTTTACATCTAAATCCTTCATGGCTGGTGTAGACTCTCTTTTTGTTCCTAAGACCCTTGCAAATGCCCTCAGTCATGATGGTTGGAGACATGCTGTGGAAGAAGAAATGTTAGCTCTTGAGACGAATGATACTTGGGATTTGGTTCCTCTTCCCAAGGGCAAACAAGATATTAGTTGCAAGTGAGTTTACACTGTGAAAGTTAATCTGGATGGTTCTGTGGCTCATTTGAAGGCACGCCTTGTTGCAAAAGGGTATGCCTAAACTTATGGCGTTGACTACACTGATACGTTCTCTCCTGTTGCTAAACGCTCATCTGTTTCACATCTTTATCTCTCTTGCGGCTATGCACCATTGGCCATTATTCTAGTTAAATGTCAAGAATGCATTCTTATATAGAAACTTACAGGAGGTGTACATGGAGCAACCACCTAGCTTTGTTGCTCAGGGGAAGTATGGAAAAGTGTCGTTTAAAGAAGTTATACGGCTTCAAACAATCACCTAGAGCATGGTTTGGGAGATTTAGTGACGTGATTCTAAAATTTGGATTAATGAAAAGTGAGAGTGATCATACAGTGTTTTACAAACAAACTAACCATGATTGTATGTTACTTGTTTACGTTAATGATATTGTTCTTACAAGTAGCGACAAAGAAGGAATTAGCAGCCTAAGAAAATTTCTTTAAACCAAGTTTCAAACAAAAGACTTAGGAATTCTGAAATACTACCTGGGTATTTAAGTCATGTACTCCAAGTAAGGAATCTTCCTTTCACAAAGAAAATATGTCTTAGACTTATTGATTGATACCAGACTAGAAGGCGCTAAACCATGTAAGACACCTACAGAGCCAAGAGTGAAACTGACAGCAGATGAAGTTCTTTTTGCAGATCCACAGAAATACAGAAGATTAGTAAGCAAGCTAAATTACTTGACTGTTACAAGGCCAGATATTGCTTTTCCAGTGACTGTTGTTAGCCAGTTTATGTCATCTCCGACGAATACTCATTGAGAAGCACTACTCCGCATTGTGAAGTATTTAAAAAAAGCACCAGGAAAAGGAATTGTGTACAAGGATCATGGAATTGTGAATCATAAACAGAATCCTTTAACTTTTCCCATAACTGATCCATAATTTAAGAGACTGAGAATGTAACACTCTTTCAGCTGCAACTGAGCAAGTACACTAGACGAGGGGAATATTTGTCTGAGAAGATTATAATGATAGTCTGAATGAATATTAATTGTTGGAATTTGGTTTGAAGCAATTCTGATCTCATTTGGGATTGCTCGGTAACAGTCTCTCTTAATATTTGTCGTGTAGAATCCTACAGTCTAACAAACTAGAATCTGCCATTATCCATTTAATTCATTTAATTGGTCAAAATATTTCCAGAGATCAAAAATAGATTTATAATGATCATGGTAGGTCAATTCTTAAACTCGCAGGTAGGGCATGTGTTTTGTCAACAAAATTGATATTTTGGTTGTGCCTGTACAGGTAAGGAATAAAGTCTTCCAATCACTTCCAACAAATGATAATTGCGTAATGCATTGTTGCATTGTCATGTTTGGGCCCCATGCATGGCATGAGACTTGGGTTAAGAAAGTTGACTCATGACTTATATCATTTATTGCATCCTGCATGGAGGATAGTGGATGAGCTTGATAAGGATGATGAGGATGGCAAGGATGAGGAGATGAGAGAGTAGCCATGGTATGAGCCCAAGGTCCCCAAGGAGGATATCATTGAAGACGATGACATGGACGAGGATGACCACTACTATGGTAACGACTAAGCTACGATGAAGGTAGTACTTAGGTAGGACATATTTCGAGTTTGGAAATTAGGTGGTATTACTACTCTGAGTTTCCTGATATGTATCTTTATGTATTTTGTGATGGGAACTTTGTTGTACCTTTGTCTCTGGGTTTTTCTTGGGGAAGAGCAGTTTCTCTCGAGGGAAATTCAAGCTTAAATAATTATAAGTCATTGCATGGGCATTTCAAAATCATAGACTCACCAATTCCGTGCAATTGTTTTAAGGCATTACCACTAGGATAGTTCCAGTATGATGCCATGAAAGTTGTGACAGTGACTGCAAGACTACAAGATAGAGAATAAGTACAAGAAAAGTATACATCTATCACCAATGAATCAAAACTAGTGAACCAACCTCATTACAAGTAATGCCAACAAAATGAGGAAAAGCAAGTTCCACATCATCTTTTTCTTATTGTTGTAGCTGAAACATTAAAGAATGCATATCAATGAAGCTCATAACTTAAAACATATAAAGTTAAGAAACCAAGAAAGCAGACACCAATTCTTAAAAGGAGGAAACATCTGAAAATTTCAAATCTCTGTTTAGAATGAAAATACAGTTCAACTCAGTCATATCATTTCAATTATACCATGTCTTTCTCATTTCATTTACAAACTACAACTATTCCCCCTTTCATTCTTGAATCAATCTCATCTAACACAAGCTAGACTAGACATATAAAAAGCCAAGGAATTCAATATATGTTGAACTTGAATCCAAACGGAATATATAGCTCATACAGTATCTAAAGTATCCAAACATAATGCATGTTCTTTGCAATTTTTGGAGCAAGAAGGGATCGTGGAAAATACATGCCTCATAATAGAATAAGAAAAAGGAAACAGGTACACATTCATTTATATTTCAATTTCCCAAATTACTTAGTTTTCCATAATATCCATTTTCAGCCGTAAGTTAGTATACACAAACACGATTGCATAATGTATAAACTTTAGAAAATGCAGAGAGAACCCAGCAAATTTTTATTGACCTATATAAAATTCATAAATTAACAAATTGTCAGGTCTAATTCATATCTGGGTACAAATATTGCAACTAAAAACCATATTTAAAACAAGAAAAACTTAGCAACAGACATAAAAGTGAAAGAAATATTCAGCTCCAAAAGGACTTTGTAAATATTAAGTCTGAAACCACAGTAAGCAAAGAGAGCTTACATTCTATTAGATGCAACTGAAGCAGATAAGTTAAATATTGGAACAGAACTTATGATAAATCGAAGTTCCTGCAATATCCATCAAAAACAATGTTAATACATGTTTTGATTTGAAAATAGGCACAAATTAAGCAACAGATTTCAGATTCTAATTATAGTACCTTGTGAGGAAGCTTAGAATAAAGCAAAATAAAGGCAAGAACTGGGAAAGCGTAAGACCGTACCCTTCTGTCTACAAAGAGGCCAAACTGCAAACGATAGCTTGTCAAGTTAGGAACAAAAAGTGGGTTTGTTCTTTTTCTTTTCTTTTTAATTTCAATCATAGTAGTCAATATCAGCCTCTATCGTGGCATAGTAGAGCAAAGCAGCTCTCTGCCGCTATTCCAAGTGCATAGCATCACAGTTCAATGTAGCGGCTAGCGGTGCAAATCGTGGAAAATTGCGGCTGTCACAGCCAATATTGATGCACAATAGAAATGTCAAATTCAACCTTGTTTTCTTAAAATTAGAAGGCTTTTAAGGGGGGGCAATTTTGGGATCTGCTCCCCCTTTACATTGTCAATTTCTGCATGTTGTTGTATCATTCAAACTCAATACTCCTGAACCCTAAGTGCTCCCATTCACCATCTTCGACAACATAAGGGTGCATTTGGAAGAACTTACAGAGAGCTTATGAAAAATAGCATATCTCTCATAAGCTCTCTTAAGTTTATTTTAATAAATTTCTTGGTTTAGCTTATAAAACAACTCTTTTGAGCTTATTCTAATAAATAATTTTATGATCAAATTCATTTCATAAGCCTTCTAGTGAAAAGAATTGAATAAGCGCCTAATTAAAAGGCTTGCCCAAATATACCCCAATTAGATACTTGTTCAATAAGCTACTTACATGAGAGTTTATACATAAGTTTGCTCATGAAGCTTACTAAAGTAAGCTAAGAAAAGCTTTTTTTTTTGATAAAAAATAAAAATCACAATTAAGCTTATTGAAATAAGCTAGAAAAAGCTAATAGGAAATTCATAAATCATTTTCATTACAAATAAGCTTTGTATAAGCTTCTAGCAAATGCTCAATCAAGCTTTCCAAGCTCCTATAGAATAGGTGATAGAATCTGTAGAGTCAAGGAATTTAAGGCTCATTAATGATATATCCCACAAACTCAAAAGATTTTCATAGGTGGGGACTTTAATGGACATGTTGGCTATGAAACAAGAAAATTCCCAAGGGCTAATGATGGTCTTGGTTTTGCAGAATTAAATGAGGAAGGACAATTTATCATTGATTTCTCAATGTCCTACGACTTTAAGATTATGAACACTTGTTTAAGAAGAGGGTGGAACATCTCATCATTTTTAAGAGCGAAGTTTCAAGGTCACAAATCAATTTTTTCCTAGTCAGGAATCTAGACAAAAGAATTTGCAAGGATTGTCAAGTGATTTCAGGAGAGAGTCTTACTACACAACATAAGGTCTTGGTCTTTGATGTTCGTTTTAAAACTGGTATATAGAGAATTCGACAAGTTAGTGTTCCAAGAATTAAGTGTGGAACTCTTAGACTTTCAGAAGCAACTAGTAGAAGAAAATAGTTGGTCAACACAAGGTAGTGCTAACATCATTTGGGATGGAAGAAATTTTAGATGAATATGAATCTAGAGGTTTGGTGGTGAAATGAAAGTGTGCAAGAGAATATTAGAGAGAAGATGTGTTTTAAAACTTTGCATACATGTAATAATGCTAAAAATTAGGCAAGGTATCAAAAGACAAGAAATAAGACAAGAAAAGCAATGAATAAAGCACATTTTAAGGCTTTTGAAAGGTTCTATCAAGATCTTGGAACAAAGTATAGGGAAAGGAGGATTTATAAACTTGCCAAAAGTAGAGAAAGAAAATATAGAGAATTAGATCAATTTAGATGTATTAAGGATAAAGAAGGAAAAACTTTACTTTGGTTTTATAGGAGAAAAATTTCTATAAACTTTTTAACAAGGGGGAAGGAGCAAGTGAAAATTTAACAGGATTATAAGTGCAAGAGAATAAGCTAAATTTGGCATATTAATGTAGGATTTGAGTTGGAGAAGTAAAAGAAACTCTTAAGAGGATGAAGAATGGTAAAGCAGTTGGCCCTAATAATATCTTGATAGAAGTTTGGAAAAGCTTGGAAAAACAAGAACTAGAGTGGCTCACTAAGCTCTTTAATGAGATTTTGAGATCTAAAAATATATCAGTTACACAAGAACAAGGGTGATATCCAAAATTGTGCGAATCATAGACGAATTAAACTCATGAGTCACACTATGAAGTTGTGGGGAAAAGTAATTAAACATAGAATACGGAAGGATACTGAAATTGAAGAAAATCAATTTGATTTTATGCAAAAAATGTCTATAATAGAAGATATATATATATATATATATATTATGAAAGATGATGAAAAAACATTGCTACAATAAAAATGACTTGCACATGATTTTTATTGACTTAGAAAAGGCATATGATTAGGTATCAAGAGAAGTGTTATAAAAAGGTTTAGAAAAGAAAGGGATCCATGTAGTATATATTCGAGCTCTACAAGACATGTATGAGTGGAAAACTACATGTGTGAGAACTTCTGAAGGGGTATCTAAGGACTTCTCAATTAGAATAACTTTACATCAAAGCTCTGCTTTGAGCCCTTACTTGTTTAACCATATTTTAGATGTGCTTACAAATGACATATAAAAGATTTTCCCTCAGCGCATGCTATTTGCAGATGATATAGTATTGGTCAAGGATTTGAAGGAAAAGGTTGATGTTAAAGTTGAGTTATGGAGGGAGACTTTAGAATCTAAGGGTTTTTGCTTGAGTTGAAGTAAGATAGAGTATATGCATTGTAGGTTTAACAAAAATATAAAAGGATGAAGATTATGCATTGAAAGTTAAACTTATAGATGATATTATACCACTAGTTTTCAGTTTCAGGTATTTGAGATGGATTATATATAATGATGGAGAAATCAATGAAAATGTTAGTAACAGAATACAAGCTAAGTGGTTAAAATAGAGAAAGGCATCAGGAATTATATATAAAGCTGAAAAGAAATTTTTACCGTACTACAATACGATTAGCTATCCTATATGATACTAAATGTTGGGCCTTAAAGGAATAAAATGAGAAAACAGTGGAAGTGGCAAAAATGATAATACTAAGGTGGATGAGTGGACACACGAAAAAGTACATGATACAAAAATGATAATATACGAGAGAATATTGGAGTAACACCTATAATAGAAAAGATAACTGACAATCGTCTGTGGTGGTTTGGTTATGTGCAAAAGAGACCTTTGGAGGCACCAATAAGAAGGGTGAATTGCATTATTCTTAGTCCAGTAATGAGGGATCGAGGAAGACCCAAAGAACCTTAGACAAAGTTATTAAAAGAGACATTTTGATTAACTAGATTTCTAAAAATTTGATTTTTGACCGATCTTAATGGCGTCATGTGATCCATGTAGCCAACCTCACCTAGTGAGATAAGGCTTGGTTGTTGTTGTAATGATATATCTGACACAAATTATTTGCCAAATCTCCACACAAATGTGTTCTCTCTTCCTTGTAAACTGCCACATTGATATATCCCACAACTGCTAACAGTTGAAATACAAAATGAACTGATTGCTCTATGCTGACGTAGGTTTATGTATTAGAGTATCCAACAAGTGTAGAAACAATGAGAGAAAAATAAGTCCAAAATTTTTAAACAAAAAGACAATTCTAAATCCATCCTTTATAGCTATGCACTACACAATTGTCAAAACAGCATGGCCTTGCACATGGGATACCAATAACAGGAATGAAATGTTAAACCAATAATGAGAATGGAATAACTCCTTTCAATTTTAATTGTCTAGAATAATGTATATATTTTCTCCTAATCTACAATTATATATTTATTCCCTTCTCTGAAACATATCCTTGAAACATTCTTCCAGGACAACAGCTATATTAATCATACACAAGCCTGATTCTCAGTGCAATTTACCATAACTATCCACAGTTCAAATATACTATTATCTTTTGAACAAGATCTTCAAGAACAAACATGCCTGAGCATCTACATGCTAGATGCTTGAACTGGCAGAGAACAAATAGGGAATGAACTGCAAGGGAATTTTCAAAGAAAATAGGCAAGAATATATTAATTCATAGAACAAACATAAATGACAGGGAAACTACTAAACTTTAAGTGGTAGCTCAGACTACACAAAGGTAAATATGGATTCTACCTTTAGAGATAATAGACAGTTTTGTTTTCAGGAGAATACCAAAAATATACAAAATATTAATCAGTTCACTAGAATTAGAATAAACCACCATATCAAGCCAGAAATCTATAAAAGAAGTAACAGGGTGTTCATTAAAGAAGGTATTTTGCAATCCAAGACATACCAGTGACAGAGGATATGCAGCAAGCAGAGAACGAGGCAGTGCTGAGGTGAAGTACCAATGGAAAGCATGTGTCTAACAAAAGTATTGTGAAGGAATGTAATAATTAATCTAACACGAATAGGACAGTATAATCAAAACTCAAAACAAACACGGTATGCAGGTTTTGCATAATGATAAGTTCATTGAGCCTTGACCACAGGCAAAACAGAGAAATTTCAACATGATCAGTGAAGAATACTAGGAGTGGCGACTGAACACCCTAACCCAAGTACCCATTCACCAAAATCCTTCCTGTTGCAGAGAATTACAACAAATATTTTTGAAAAATCCTTCAAGTCACACTGCCGGATTTGAAGGCCACCCAGTACATTATTGAATACAATCCACTTAATAACAAAGATCCTAGTATCACAGGATTTCCAAAAGAAGTAGCCCAAGGATTACCACCCAAAAGAACTCCCAAGTATGCAAGGGAGAACTATAAAGTTTTACAACATCCAAAGAGGCAACGAAAGAAAATTGCTATTCACATTTTAACCAGCAAAACCACTTGGCCAAATCAACCCTAAAGTGAATGTCAACCTCTAAAGTGAACAAGGGAATAGAAGATCTCTTCACTTGACTCCTCATTATCTTTTGAACCCAGACTTATCCTCACCATTTAGAATCATAGAATCATAGAAAAGGTATCAAATAAGGACCTGTTTGATTAAAACAGTTCATGTTTTCACAATTAATTACAACAAAACTACCTTGTTTTCACTGTTTTCTATTTTCAAAGATTTGTACAGAAAACAGAGACACCAGAATTTGGTATTCTTCATTGTTTCCTGCACCAATCTTTGAAAATAGGAATCACAGTAATAAGTAATAACAAGGTTTTTCCTTTTTAACTATGTATTGAAAAAAGAAAAAGTTTTTCCAAACAAAACAGATCCAGAGAGAACCAGAGGAAAATAAATATACCCAGGTCATGAAATTAAATAAACTCAGTGAAGGATACCCCCCATTCAGAACTCTTGTTTAGCACAGAGTTGAACCAAAAGACTTCAAATTCAGGCCACAATAACCTTTTCCACATAATTGAATCTACCAATATGGTCAGACCTGTGCAGGAGAACTCACTATCAGAATCAAATTTAATAAAAGCATCACCATTATGCATAAATTTTAACTTTATTCAAATTACAGATTAATTTTAAAATAAAGTATATATCACCAACCTATGCAGAAGAAGGCCATCCCAGTGCAGTGTTTTAGAGCACCCCATAGTGATATTTTTTTTGTCTTCCCTTCAAGAGATGAAACTTTTTAGGTACAAAGCTTGATCATGTTAACTTAAGATTGGAATTGTCACAATAAATTTTCAGTTTACTAATAACTTAACACAAAAGTGCAAGGCAAAGTAAATGAGGGTAAAAAAATTCACTAAACCGAACAATTAACTTCAAAAGCCAAATAAAATAAAGTAATAAACACTATTCTCCAAAGATTAGCTTTCATGTTAAGTATAGTTGAAGCAATGAAGTTGCATTTAAATTTTACATAAATGTTATACAAAGTAAAAATTCTATGGTGACCCAGTTGAACACTTCAGACACCTTTCCTGATAAAACAATAACCTGAGACAGTCCTCAAGTCCAATGACAACTCAGGAATTGTAAGAAAAATTGAAAATATTCAGAAAGATAGAAGTCAAAACAGGTTTTAATTTCAATTATTATGGAAGGGAAACATTATTGACATCAATATCAGAGCTGTTCACAGCTCCAGATAGATTAATTTCTAATCAAAAGGAGTTAGTTTAGGATTTTTTTCCTCTGTTCTTTTTTTTTTTTCTCTAATTTGTTTCCTGTTGTTTCCTGATCATTTCTTTTATATTTGTCATCATCTAAATTGATTATTAGGTCCTTAATTTTAAAGGTATTTTACAAAATATAATCTGTATATATTTGAAACAAGCGACATAAAAAATTATCTGAGAACTGAATTTTTTCACTGTTTTTACAGGAAATATGGTCTTCATTTCATTTTCAATATATTGACATCAGAAGTCCAAATAAATGCATGAAGAAACAACTATATTCTAGTACCATGAATTACTTGCTTTACTTGCCAAACAAAAAGCATAATATAATTCTCATAAATATTAGGATAAGAGGTTGACATTTTTTTTCTTACTTGTTTGGGATGCTGTATTTTCATAGGCACTGAGACTGGGAGAGGAAAATAAGAATATATCAAGCATCCAATAGCAAATTATGAATATGGCCAGATTTTTTTTTCTCTTTCCTTTTTATTACAAATAAAAAGAAGAAAATTAAAAAACAAGCATAAGTACAGGTTCGGAGGAGGAGCATCATAACTCAATAGATGTCCTCAAGTTCCTAACCGAACAAAAGTAAGAATTGATAGATATCTAACATGGAAATTAAGTACAAGATTTCCATCCACAGCTCAAGCATTTAAGAGGAAAAAAAGGTTGGATTAAAAATTAAGTTATAGAAAAAACACAACATACCAAAAGAAATTGCAGCCCAATGGGACAAAGAAGCAACAGCATGTCACATCTGAATACAGTTGTCGCAAAAATCTGTAATCCAGAAGTGCCAAGATAATATTTCAGAATAGGTGAACCATAACAAACATACTACAGACTCATAATTAAAAAGGCCCACTAATTCCTGAAACCATTCTAGGCAATAACAGTAAAAACTAAAAAGATTATATTCTCTCTCTCTCTCTCTCTCTCTCTCTCTCTCCACACACATGCACATATATATAAATGATTTTTCTAATGTGTGCCCAAAAACACACAATAAGAACCAATATATAGTAAATTTTTATTAAAAACCAGAGGATCCAATGCATTAATAATATTAAATGCTATAAATTTCAACAAAAACTTACTATTTATTAATTTTTTATTCTGTGTCCTTAGACACATATTAGAAAAATAGATATAAAAAAAAGATGATATATTGAACTAGTAAAAGTGAAGTTTTCAAATTCACAAGTTGCAAAAAATTGAGAGGGTATATAAACTCAAGGAGTAAGGCTAAATCCCCCTGCTATTTCAGCCTACAAACCCTCCCACTTACATAAAAGTGACACGTCTTTTTATAGAGAGAAAATGTTAAAATAAATAAATAAAAGCTAATTAATGTTTTTCAGAAGACACATGTCATATTTTTGTGAATAGGAGGATTTGTAAGCTAAAATAATAGGATGATATAGCATTTTCAAACTCATGTACTCAATCCTTAAAATCTCTAGTTACCATATATTGGCCTGTTTCTTTTGGATTTTGAAAAAAAAATAAAGGATGTATAAAAAGTTATTTATTTTTAGAGATTTTATGAAAAATGTGTTACTTTTTGTTTGTTAAAATTATAAAAAGCACTTTTTAATTTTAAAAGGTGGTTATAATTTTATTTAATTTTTTCAAAAGCTATTCATAATAGCTTCTCAAGAAAGCTAAAAACAAATTATTTTCAGCATTTGATTTTTTTCATAACCTTAACAAGATAACTAAAAATTCTGAAAATTAATTACAAAAATATTGGTGCTTTCCTTGTTAAATAATCCCAAACAAACAGGCTCATTAATATACACATACATCAGTGTGTCCATTAATAAGGTATTGCAGGAAGGAACAATGTTTAACATAATTGAAAAAACAGTACAAAATATTAATATAACAATCATTAAAGTTAAGCACAATATTTTATCTTATATATTACAAAATTCTACATCAAATGTAATAAAATTTTCAAGATTATTCTCTTGCAATAAGAAATTAAAGAAGCTGTGATGAATGGAACATCAGTTTGATCCTTGAAAGATTTGGAATTGATCACATTAGTCTCTGAATGATGCAAATCACCATTTTCCGCCTTGAAAGAATAAATTGTCAATCAATTTAGTCATTTGTCATGTACTAAATTAATGACAAAAAAGGACTGATATGATTGATTTTTATTTTTTTTTTCATCTTTCAGAAACTAATGCAATCAACTCTAAATCTTTAAGGAACCAAAATGGTGATACGAGCTGCATAAAATAAAATTCAATATCAAGGTGAAACTAAAATAAAACCATGACATACATACCAGAGAGTTTAGAGCTGCATAAAATCGCCCCTCAAACCAATATCCATATGCCAAATTTACTGCAAAATAAATTAATAGAAAGTGTAGCACCATGATGTTGACTGGCAACTAAGAAAAATCTAACATAAAGTTGCAAATGAAAATTTCAGGAATTTTAAATAAGATATGAAATACAAAACTACACTCAATTAATGCAAAAAAATTGCCCTTTAATAATTTATAAAATTTTCTCACTGTCCACTACTTATTTCCCTATAACCAATGTTATCAAAATCTCTCTTATTAAATTATTGACAAATTAATTTTGAATATTTTAATTACACATTCATATTTTATAATTTATACACATGGAAAAACAAAATGTTAGAATTTTCTATTTTTATTATTAGGGTTAATTGTGTCATCTATTTCAGCTTTGATTCCATACACCAAATACCAGAATCACTTTCCATGTTACTTTATTTCTAATTTTCCCAAACTGTGGAATTGAAATAGAATTCCAATTCCAAGTTACGAATTCTGATTCTTATTTGTTTTCTTATCGCAAGGATTCCATTATGTGCACCAAAGGCAACATAGCATATATGACTTTGGTAGGATTTTCAACTCATGGTGTCCACCAATAACCAACTGTTCTTAAAGCTTAACTTGTTAGGTGAATGCTCAGAATGGGTTTATATCTCTAGTGCATCCCCTTACTCAAGAGCCCTTTGGACGTGAGCATGGACAATGCATAGCCCACGTGCCTTATGATGAACTATTTTTTTGTTTTGGGAAGAATGGGAGAGGCAAGAAACAAACGCATATAATCTCAGATAACATGTATTGATAACCACTCTACTAAAATCTTAAGGTGAGGGTTGATGATTGTCCACTAATATATATATATATATATATTCTAAAATAAAGAAAAATATGGCTATTGGACGGTTATTTTAAGTTTCAAAGACTTCTCAAATCTTTCCCTTTTTATTCTATGTACATAGTATGATGAGAATATTTCCAGTCTCCAAGCCATGAAAACATATAACAAATATGTCCAACAATAATGCCTTGTTGGACCTCTATCTATGTACACCCCCCTCCCCCAAAAGAAAAGAAAACAAAACCTTATGTGACCTCTATTCCTGAAGCATATCATTCTTTGACTGAAACAGAGAAATCCTTTTTGTAGAATCATTTCATTATGCCCTTTACTTAAAATAGGTAGGATACTGAGTGATGGTTTCTTTCCTTTCTAAGATAAATATCACTGTATATAAATCTTTCACTCTGGGTTTGCCCACTAGTGTTATCAAGTATCATGTTGCCATTCATCATTAACAAAAAGAAAAAATAGCAAGAACATAGAGAAGCAAGACAAGCTAAGTCGTTACCTATACCCAGAGCAAGAATGTTAGGAAGTGGACGAGTACAATAGAACAGAAAATGAAACTGAATTGCAGTTAATATCACAAAGAAGGCTTCGACTTGATGCCCAAATATATTCCTTATCTGCATAGTAAATAATGTGATCCAGGAAATATATTCAAATTAGTCTAAGTTCTTACCTAAAAAGCTTCAAACATTAATGACTTGAAGCAGAGACAAAATAGATTCTTAAACAAAGAAAAGGAACATGTATGGCATGTATAAATATGATCAATACAATTTATGGATTAACAGCCAGCATAGATTCTTTTATTTATTTTGGTAATAAATAATTTTCTAAAAGAAAGAATAATACAGTAAAAAGAGGAAAAGGAATCCTCCTAACAGTGCAGCAAAACAAACAAACAAAAGAGATGCATATGCATCAACATGAGAGTTTCCCTATTCTTCTACAAATTTACCAAAGAAACAACTCCCCCTCTATTCTACCTACTAAATAGTTTAAAGCAAAAACCCTAGAAGTCAAGAAAGCAATTCTGCCCCATATAAATTCCAATGGAAGGAATCTCTTATCTAAAACTCTAGCATGATCCTCCAGCTAAATTATCCAAGGTTCTCAAGCATTGCAATTAGCAAAGGCCACGGGAACCTAAACTCCTTCATCCTCCCACAGACTCAAACCCTTGAAAATGAAGAGAAAATGCAGAATGAGATTGATCAACAGAAAAACATTTGGTCCCTACTCAAGACAAAAAAAATTGAGGACAGGAAAACTCAAAAAGCATAACCTCTCATGAACTGAATAATAATTTCTGTTGTCAAAGGTACAAACTACCTGTGGAATATTCAATTATTTATCATCTTACTATTACTGCCAACCTCACCATTTAGCTGCCACTGTAGAGGTGTTTGCCCATCTTTAGATGATTGTCAGCCCTATTCCAATGGCAACTCTCCTCTAACATGTTAAATAACTATAATTGACCGTGATATGCTTTTGTTGATCATTACATACTAGCATAAAGCTCATCTGACCTCTAAGCAAAATGCTATAAGTGCATGTCACTGAATTTTATTAAACATATCATCAAAAGTTGAACTAATTAAGCTATATCATTTATTTTATAAAAGAATAAATTCATTAAGATGAGGAGCAGAAAATTACAAGGAAATTGCAGGATAAGGATCTTGCATAACAAAAAAACAAAGAAAAGGAAAAGGAAAACAATAAAGAAAAGAAAAAGAAAACACCAATGAAGCAAAGCTACTCAATTCCTTTGCTTTTTATTACAACATATTCTAAAAGACCATGTATTACCCTGGATAGAAGCTGACCACTTAATCCTACAGTAAATCAGCCAGTGATCCAAAGAAACCTCCTTAGAAATAAAAACAGTATGCACTAAACTAAATCCATATTATTGTGAGAAAAGACATCTTTGGCATGAGACAACTTTGTACAAATTTGAAGAGGTAATATGAACAGGGTGAGAGAGAGAGAGAGAGAGAGAGAGACTAGAAAACAAAACATAAATTATGGATCTTCTCGTTATTTCTATAAATTATCAAGAGAAAACATCATAAATTTTCTGAGAATCACTCTAACTGATCAGGGGAAGCAAATCAATCAATGATTTATTAGGTTTGGACTTAAGTATCAATGAGTAATTCAATGAACATCAAGTATAGTATGTTAGCAAAGTCTTCTCTTCCAGGTTACTATTGCTAACTTTAGTGTACACCATTTTAGGCATATTTTTCTCAAAAACCAGCCTCTAAAAAAACTGAAGTAATTTCATCACCTTCCTAAATATGATAATGATAACAAGTTAAGCAAAAGAAATCATGTTTAAGAAAAGTTTTAGAATGATATGCAAAAAGTGTTTATCACTTCCTTATGAAACTTTAATTTCAACTTCAGTTGGATAGGTAAGATACCAAAGTAACCAAACAGTTGATAAACACTAGTTTATGAGATAAAAAAATTAAACTTATTTTGCTCACTTTGATTTTTCTTAATTGATTGTTGTCAGAGGCTAAAAAAGGAGTCAAAGGTGCATACCTGATGTCGAAAGAATCTTAGTGTATACAGTATGATACACCCTAAGGCCATCCGAACTAGATATCAACAATAAGACATATATTAATGTACTTCCAATTACATTCTCAAGTAACATAGAACACAGGAGAATGAAAATATACACAATGTTTGATAATTTTGAGCATTTTGTCATGGTCTATTACTCTATGATTAGAAACTCAGCTATGAATTGTAAATTACATAATTTGATTAATCAATTCTATTATGTACATATAATATTGACATTCGCATGTAACAATTGCTCACAAGGCTAGCCGAATAATGAAAGAAAACTAAGACCAATGGCCAAGGGAAAGAAGTATAAAATCAAATGATAGTATTTTAGACTTTAAACTTATTGACCATTTGCCATAGTCTTTGTTTCAATTTAACCAAAGAAAAGTGGAAATGAGCAGGAAATACAAAAATTAAGAGCATTGTTCTGAAAGGAGGAAAATTGAATAAGTAAAACTCAATATGCAAGATTGTCAAGTATGAAAGAAGGATACCTATGATAAGAGCATAAAACTTTGGCAAATGCAGCAAACTGGCAGTGAACACAAACGGAGCTGCAACAATTGATACAAGCAAAGCACCTAAAACAAGATAACAACAATAATAACACAATTAGACAAGATATGATATAAGAAAGAGAGAAATACTACACTAGTACACACCAGTTTACACTGAGAAAGCCAGGCCTTCGAAAAAACTCATTGTAAACAATCCAATTGAACATCAACGTAAAGATATGCACGATTTAATTTCCACCATTAAGGCACTAATGCATAAACAAACTTAAATAACGATAATATGGATGTGTTTGGAAATAATGCTTAATTAAGTGCTCATTCAGTACTCTTTTTAAATGATAGTTCATGCCATAAATTTAATAATGAAACTTATTGGGATAAGCTGAAAACAACTTATGCGCTGTTTTCTATAAGTTATTCATAAACTCTTCCAAAACAGGCCCTAAAACATGTCAATCACAATCCCAAACAACATTAAATGGATTCACATTAGCCACACAAGCTATGCAGCATAAACAAGTGCGAAAAACTGAGATAATGATAAAATAAATGAATAAACTATGATCCTATTGGTTGACTTTTTACGAAATGGTCAAATTTGAGAAAATGCAAAAACTTACCAATGAAAGTGCGAGGAACCACACCAGGAAATTCCAGATGATCATACTAATGACAAAAACATTAGAAACTGATAAATTAGGCCCAACAAAATAAAAAAAAAATATTAATAAAGCTTATAAAAATAACAATAACATGAAGTAAACTCACATTATCTAAGTTAAGCCGGTGATAGAGAATATCGTGCATTGCCTTCAGGAAACACAAAATAAACAAATAAATAGAAGCAAATAGGTTGAAGAAGATGGAGAGAGAGAGAGAGAGAGAAAGACCTGAACATTGAAACTCTCTTCGACCTTAGTGTAAGGCACAGTGAGTACGTAGAAAGCAGCGATTGATCCCAACAGAAAATCGTAACCGTATCGCTGCAGAAACGTCACCGATTTGGAATTGGAAGCCATTGTTTTTGGTTCGTTGCAGAGTGAGTGCAGAGTCATCAGAGACACTACAAAACAATGAAATGGGCTTCGTGGGCCTTTTAGAAGTTTTGAGCCTTGATGGACTGTAAAAAATTTTGTAATAAATTTTTTATTTTAAAATTATATAAATTTGGTCCACCTATCAACTTTTTCTACTTAAAATTTTCAATTTTTTATTTTTTAATCAATTTTTTTAGAATTTTATAACCGAATTAAAACACGAGATAATTTTAAAGTTTCAGAAATGAGATATTTAATTCTTGTAAAATATGATATTAGAATTCAAAGAAATAAAATGTTGAATTTTTTCTTTTGATGTAATTTAATATTTTGGTCGTAGAGTTTTTAGTAGAACAAAATTTAATCAATCTAATCTATAAAAAATTTGAATTAAAAAAATTAACAATTTTAGGTAGAAGAAATAATATATATATATATATATATATATATATATATATATATATATATATTACACCGATGTAAGTCTAAAAAATTTTACACTTAATGTGAACATTTTATTTAACTTAAATCTAATAGTTTATAATTTATTACTTTACTAACTGTTAGATTTAAGTTAAATGAAAGATTCAGATTAAGTGTAAAATTTTTTAGACTTACACTAATATAAAAATACTCTTCCTCATATATATATATATTACACTATCCAATCAAATATCAACATGCTTGTGAACATTTTTAAAAAGATGTCTAGACCACTTTAATGGAATGTTTGCATACATGAATTCCAAAATATTAAATTACATGTATTTGGATAGCTAAAAAAAAGTGTTTTTAAAATACTTTAAAATTTTATCTAAAATTTTTTATGTCAATTACAATAAATTTTAAATGACACGTTTTAGAGAAAATTTAAAAGACTCTTTTATGCTTTAAATTTTTTATAATTATCATTTATAATTCTTCCCACACTTAATTAACATTCTAAACATCTTACATTATTGATATCAAATTCTTCAAAATTCTAAAATTTTCTGTTCAAACACAACCTAGAAGACTTTTGATAGTTGATCATTAGAAAACCTCTCTATTATCTATCCTAGAGTTGCCACAAGGGCACAACTAAAGAATTTAAACCAACATGGTCTCTTTACAAATCTATTGCATTGAAGGGTTGTTCTTTCTCCCTTTCTTTTTTCCTTTTCATCATGCATTTTATGTTAATGTTTCATATTTGTTCACAATTATAAGTAAATAAATCTATATCCGTGAGCTATTCATTGAATCTTATGTATATTTTTTTGTGTGGACTCTAATAAGCTCAAGCATAAGCAAGTCCAAATTAGATGAAATGGGAATGATTGCACCTATTAGCTAAGCAATCTAAAGATTTTAAAATCCTAGTGTTAAGGTGTGACCAATGAGTTATGATCCTCTAATACAAATGTTTTTTTTTTCACCTCTAGTACGAGTGTTTAAAGCAATGAAAGTTGCCAATGTGAGTGCTAAGTAGGCCTTAGATTGGATATTCGACTCATTAGCACAGAATTCAAAAGAATTAACTTTAGGTTTTGAGCCTTCTTAGGTTAATACATAATAATATTGAAGTTATTCGTTTCTCAAATTTAGTATAGTTTGTGCTTTCCTTTCTTACTGTGTTTGTTCTATTATTTTGTATAATATGTTTGGAATTAATCACTCTTAAAAAAATCTCAATTAATTTATTGACCAGCAATCATATTACAATTAACTGATCAAAATTGTAATTATTGTGCCTTCTACTTTCAATCATTCATTCAATTGATAAATTTGTTGGTTACCTATGCCTTTCTTTAGTATTCTCTTGCTTAACCATTGAGTGCAATGGATTTGGGATTATGTGATTGATAACGAGAAGGAAATAAGTTTTAAAAAAAAATTGGGCAACTTAAGTGATTGTACTGGCAAAACCAAATGCAACTAAGCTTTTCATAGTGAGTTATTACTTATAATCTGCACTTCAATCATTCTCTTTTTAAAACTTCAAAAATATTGCTTATGATTTTTTAAAAATTTATCTTAACACTAAAATTTATGTATTATCTATATAATTAAGGATTTCATGATTTCATTAATTGTTGAATAGTCTCTATAAGACAACATTTTGTGTCAAATATTCAATTTTACTACTTATCAACCAGTAAACTAGTTCAATAATGAAAAATATTATGAAGTTAGCAAGGATATAATTGGGTAACATATATGATGGTTTGTGAGTTCAGAATGTTTTTAGATCCTAAACAAATAAGAGAGAAACAATGAATTCTCAAGCTTTGAATTACATAATGTAACTAAAATTTCTCCTTTAACTTTGTGAGTTCATAATGTTTTGAGATAACTATTTAACTTAGCTGATTCACAAATAATAATTAACTGCAATGTTAATGGTTGCATCTCTAGTCCTTTTACTATTGATTTGGTTAGTCACTATTGTTGTTGGTAAATAGCACTTCCACCTTCATTGCATGTGATACCACCTGAGTGACAATGGTTTGAAATGTTTTGGTAATGATTCCACCAACCACTTTGGAGCAATGCTCGTCATTTGGAAAAGGAATTTGAAGGTGCCAATCATGATGGTAGTAATGGCAATTGTACTGGATAAGGAACTACTCGGTCCTACATATAGGAAAAGAAAATCGAGTACCTATTCGGTCCAGCTTGACCAGATACCTTAGTATCAGGATTAAGAAATAATTAAACTCGATTAAGGGCAATAATTAGAACATTATCTACTTTAAGTAAAGGGCCAAAATTATGGTTGACTCATCAAGTCCATTAACCCATAATAAAGCCTATATAAGGAAGGTAGGAAGTATAGGTAAATGGTTGACTTTTCATTATTAAATATCATTTATTACTCAGAACCGAATCCTGACTTCAGTATCGGAGTGCCTTTTGCAGGTATACTCTCCACGTCAGCAACAGTCAAAGAGATGTCATCACGGCAGATCAGAAACTTGAAGACTAGTATTTCCCTTGCAGGAACAGTAATAACATATGGTAACAGTGTCATAAATAATAAACCAAACACGGTTTGCTATAATTGATTGATTTAGATTCAATTGGCTTCAATTATTGAACTTGATTATGATGCCATTAGCTTTGGGAGTGGGTATATACAACAGTGGTCAATAGCGTGCCCAACTGATTCATGTGGAAAATTTGCTCTGAATTTCCTTTTAACTTCTTCCATTGAGTACAGTGGATATTCCAAAGACTCAATTTTTCACAAAGGAATTATGAAATAATTGGTTAAAGGGGTGAAAGATTGAATTAAGGTGTGAGATGTGTAGTTCTTAAGAAAAGAAGTGTATTGCAGTGATGGGTTGACTATGACTTGTGAAGTTGACTTTGATTATGATTTGTGTATGCAAGTATATGTAAAGATAAATTTTTACAAATTTAGATTGATAAAGTAAAAAAATATTATAACAAACAATTTTAAGATTTATACACTTAGAATATTAAATTTATATTATATATTTATTAAATTATTTAAATGACTCGAATAAAGTTTACAATTTTTATGATTTATGAAGTCATTTTTTCTTGTATATCATGTAAAAAAATTTAGTCTTTTTCAAATAATTTATAAAAAAGATTTAGCAACAAAAAATACTTTATATTATATATTTTTTATAATAAAAATTAATATTTACGATTGCAATCATATTTAAGAAATGACAAAATAAATGAATAATAAAGTACAATTAAAAATAAAAAATAAAATAAATATTATATACATATTTGTTAAATTCTTATAATTTATATTTGATTACAATTTATATATGCAAGTGTATGTAAAAGTAAATTTTTACAAATTTAGATTCATAAAGTAAAAGACTATTATAACATAAATAATTATAAGATTTATACATTTAAATATTAAATTTATATTGTATATTTACTAGATTATTTAAATGACTCAAAAATAATTTTTGAAATTTTTATAATCTATTATAATAGGGTTTTTTTTCTTGCGTATGACGTAAGCAAATTAATTTTTTAAAATAATTTATACAAAAAGATTTGATAAAAAAATACTTTATATTACATCTTTTTTATGATGAAAATTAATATTTACAATTACAATTATGTTCAAAAAATGTCAAATAAATGAATAATAAAATTAATTTAAAAAAATTAATATATATATATATATATATATAGATAGATATATAAGTGATAAGAGTACTAGTTAATTATAAAATATATTTATTACTTAATAATAATTTTATTATTTATATTAATATAATTTTGTATAAGTTTTTTGTGAAACAAATACATTTATGTGTTTTATGTATATACTATTCATATATATATATATATATATATATATATATATAATATTAAAATATGTATATGTATATATATCTTTCATGTTAACTATGCAACAATTGAATTTATTTATAATAATTTTATAAAATAATTATTTATATATAATATAAATATCTATTTTTTGTGATATAGATATTTATATCTTTGTACATACATTTATTTGTTTGAGCAATATGAATATTTATATTAAAATTTTTTAATCTCTTATTATATATAAAAAAGAAAATTTAAAATAAAAAATTATAAATTAAAAAATTTAAATATTTATTTATTCAACAAATAGAACCAATAAGTGTATGTGATAAGTTTTTTTTTATATAAATTTAAAGTTATCTAATTAATTGAATTAACTAATTAATACAAATTATCTTTTACAATTTTTTATATTATTCAATTTGATTTTTTATTTTTATATTTAAATATAAACTAAACAAAATCATAAATATAAATTTATATTAATTTTTTATATAAACAATATATATTATTTTATAATATAGGTATATTTTAAAAATTAAATTTATTTGATTTATAATTTATACTAAATGATACTTTATAATTAAAATTAATATGTTTAATTTTTTATATTTTAAAATATTTAAATTTTATTTAATAAATATCGTCTGTTATATATATATATATATATATATATATATATATATATATATTTGTAAAAGATTCAATCAATTATCATATTTAACCGGTAAAAAGATTATATATAGATTTTATCAATAAATTTAGATATTATTAATAAATAATAAGAATATTAATATTGTAATTGATTATAAAATGTATAAAATATGTAAAAAAATTATTACTTAAATATTCGCTTTATGATTTAGATATTAATATAATTATATATATATAATATTTGTGTAAAATAAAGTTTTATAAAATATTTGTTAACTCTCTTATTCCTTTTAAAAATTACTTCTACACAAATTTAAATTTGGAGACTAATTTGTTTCATAATAAATTCAAATTTTTAAAGAAATTCTATGTGAATAATTTATTACAACAAATCAATTAAAAAAACAAAAAATATCACTTTAAACTTATCTTTGTCAACATGTAGAATCCTAATATGTTCACAATAATTTGAACATAAATATATTATTCAATAATAATCTGATTGAAGGATTTAAAAAACAAAATACTTATAAAATATATAATTATAATAAATCATAAAAGAGAAAAACATATTTTATCAAATTTTATGAAAATACTACATAATTAATATTTAACATATAATAATGTTAATGATTAAAGATTTAATTATAAATATTTAGAATATAAATACTTAATTAAAAAATTTAAATTATGAAAACCTAATTATAAATTTAAAAACTATAATGATTAATAAATAAATTTAACCAAATTGTTAATACATTTTAAAAAGAAATTCTTCCTTCTTATGTAAAATATGCAATAATTAAACTTTAGTAGTCTACTTCAAAGATATAAAAATGGTAAATAAACAGTTTTCATTAACAAAATTAACAATCCTAGTGATTTACTTTATTAATAATTAATTTTTTATACTAATCCTATAAAATAACTATTTATATATGATGTAAATATCTATTTCATATTTATATATTTTTATGCATATTTTTTTATTTGAGTAATATAAATATTTATATTAAATTCTTAAACTTTTATTTTACATAGAAGAAATAAAAAAATTATAATTTTAAATATATAATAACTAAATTTTAAATAAAATAAAATTGCTAATTCCAAAATTAGTGTTTAACTAGTGCGCATGACAAGTTCTTTTGTTAACTTGAGAATATCTAATTAATAAAGTTAGAGAATTGATCTAAATTATTTTAATATGTTACAAAATGATTTACAAAATTAAAATTGAATAAATTAACAATTAAAAAATACATTTTAATGCAAATCGGTTTAATTTTAGTTTTTATATTCAAAATAAACTAAACTCACACAAAATTCATATTATTTTTTATTCTATTATTGTATAAAGATGATATTAAAATATATTATATTAAATATATTTATTTTTTAAATTTGAAAAATTTTTATTTGTAATTTAGTCTAAATTATGGTTTTTAGTGAGATTTAATAATTTTAATATTCTTTTTATATTTATTAAATATTTAAATTTTTATTTAATTTATATATATCATTTGTTAAATAAAATATTACATGTTAATAAAAGACTTAATTTATATTTTTATTGATTAAATTTTATTTGTTTATTAACAAAAAATATAAATGGAATCACTTAAAAGATAAGGTAAAATATTAAAGTAACTTATACTCTTCAAACCATAAAAGGTTTAATTGGTTTGGTTTGATTTTAAATCTATTCCAATTAAATCACAAATTTATTCATAATTGACAATGTCTTTCTGCCTTAAAATTGATTTAAATCAAATTAAAAATACTTCATATCAATCGTTTAAAATTTATAAACTAAAATTTGATTCAATAAATTGTTGTTCTTTAGTATGTTGCACAATTTAATATATAAATAAAAAATTTTATTAAAAAAATTTATAACACTTTAATCTTTATGTAATATCAATGCTTTTTTATAATTTAAATATAAATATATTTTATTTTTATTTCTTGTAAAATTTTTGTAAATTTATTATTATTTTAGCTGAGCTATAATAAAAGTCTAGAACTTTTGAAAAAAGTTAAGATGCTTGAATAATATCAAATAAAATTTAAAAAAGAGAATTAATATATTATAGTTATATTTAAATATAATTAATATATAATTTAATGATTAATTGTCATTTCGCCACTTTATCTGTGGAATTTTAATCTATTTTGTTATTAAAAATTGTTATATTATCCTGTTGTTAAGTTTTTATTATAAAAAATGATGACGATGTAACCTGATAAAAATAAGTTAAAACATAAAAGAAAATTGCAGAATAAAGCAACACCGAAGTGAAATGAAAGAAACACCAATACAGGGAAGCACACCAACACGCCTTGTGCTCCTGTTAAGGCGTGTTGATGACCACCACCATGCTCCATTATATTATTTTAGAACGCAACAAAAAAATGTGACATCCATCGTAATACTAGATTATAATTTAAGATTCTGTAGCAAATGAAAGTATTTTAGTGACATGAGACAACATTTTTGCAAACTACTAAAAAGAAATCAGAAACAAGATTGGCAAATCTAGAAGAAGCCACAAATTATGCTGTCATATACTCCTCAAAACTGTCATTTATGACTCTGGCAGCTAACAACAAGAATAATCAAATTGTATGCTGTCTTTAACATTTAACAAATATGCAATAGCACTACTTATCTATTGTCACAATAGAAAAAATAAAATAAAAGCATGTCATATGACTACATTGGTTGAGCCATTTTTCTGATCAATTCCCCAACCAATTATTTTGCAAGCAAAGAAATGAGAAAGAGAGACAGAATTGCTAATTGCTAACTCAACTTTGATCTTAATACCAAGAATCCAAAACTACAAATTAGTTTTAAGAACCAAGATCACATTGCAAGTGCTTAGTAGTTTCTAGCTATGTTAAGGTTTTTGTATAAGAGCTTGATTTTAAGACATCAGAGTGGAGTACGTTATTTTCCCTAAAAGTGACAAAACGTTTACTGTGTTACAAAGTGTTCCACTACTCCACTTTTGGCTCTTTCACTTTCTTGAGCCAGACAAGCTCCAATAGAGTGTGAAGAATTGTGTAAAAACTTGGAAAGCAACCAACATCCACTAAAGAAAAAAGAAAACGAGACAACTTTACTAAATACCAAGCATGAGTGAAGAAGATGAAAAACAAACTATCTCGATCTTCATCAATTTTCAACAAGATCCATCAAAGTCCAACTCACAATGAAAAGAGCAAAAACACCAAAAGATATCCTAGAAGAAAAAAAAAATTATTTATAAATAAGGAAAACAAGGCTACTTAAGCACTTGGAAAACTGACCAGGAAAACCATGGACATCTGTGGTGCTACTGAAGCAATTCTTCTCCAACCTTCTCGCTTGCATCCAACATGTTCTCGACTTAGGGTCAGAGAAAATGCATCAGGGCAATTCAACCGGTGGAGCCTAATGCCACAAAAGCAACACACCACATCACATGTCTCATAAGGCCTTTCAGTTAAAAGCCTCTCACTTTCAAAGCCTTTCCCAGCACCTGAGTCATCTGGCAGCATAGGCATCATATCATATGTTGTGGCATGGCCATGGCTATGGTCTGTCATGCCAAGTGCAGTAGAAGAGTATGCAGAATGCAACCATGCTACAAGCACTGGGAAGGTAAAACCATGCTACAAGCATTGGGCAGTACCTACTGTCGTGCAGTTCCTTGTCACCATCATCTTCAGTGACACTACATGCACATTCCATCAAAAAACTCATCTGAGAGAGTAAGAGGGCAACCTGCAACATCAGATTGTTGTGGGAATGCTGGTATTGTTGTTGTTAGCTTAGATGGGCTTAAGGCTGGTTGCTGCGGGATCAGGAAGGCCGATAAAGGAATGAAAGTAGAGAATGCAGCAGAAAAAAAGGAAACTGGATATGCTTATTCCTTCACTAGTTTGACATCTGGATTATCATCATTTTAAGCCAAGTCTGCTATTATTCTTGAGGAAATGTTCCATAACAAGTGCAAGCAGAAAGCATCTCAATTAGTTTTAATCTCACAATAAGCCTCTAACAATCATTTCATCAAGAAGTTTCTCTGCTGTATCATCCTTATTTCTTTTGTAGAGAGCATGGATAATTATACGAAAAGTTATAGCATCAGGACTGCAACCATTCTCTTCCATTTTTGACTTTAAGGACAATGCTTCATCAACTATTCCCTCTTTACAAAGCCCATTGATCATAGCATTATATGCTGCCACATTTAGATGACAGCCATTATTCAATAAATCCTGAAAAACCTCTTGTGAATCCTCAAGTCTTCCGCCTTTGCATAGTCCATCAATAAGTATTGTGTATGTGTATGCATTTGGATGAATGCCCTTTTTTATAACGTCATTGAATAATGCAATTGCCCTATCTAAATGATGGTTTTTGAATAATGCATTTATTAAGCAATTGTAGCTAACTATATCAGCATGTTGACCCCGATCATCCATCTCATCAATAAGATTCTGAACGCAAGAAATTCTCCCTACTTTGCACAAACCATCAATAAGAGAATTGTATGCTACTGTATCTGGAACCATACTTTTGCGTTGCATGTCTTCAAAGAGAATCATGGCTTCATCCACCATTTTAACCTTGCATAATCCACTGATCAGTATGCTGTAGCTCTGTACATCAGGGGTTACCCCATTTCGGATCATGTTGTTGAATACATATTTGGCATTCTTTACTTCATTAACTAAGCAATAGCCATCTATCAAGGTATTATAAGTAACAACATTAAGTTTCACACCATCTTTTATCATCACAGTTAAAACATATTTAGCCTCTCTCACCTTTCTTTTTTTACACAGCGCATCAACCAGTATGCTATAGGTATATGCATCTGGGTGGATGCTTTTCAATACCATTTCATTGAACAAATCAAATGCTTCCTTCAATTGACCCGAAAGGCAAAAGCCATGAATCAGACTACCGTAAGTGAAAACGCTGGGATAAATTTTCTTGACAACCATTTCTGAAAAAAAATCACATGCTTCTTTCAAATTTTTATCTTTGACTAGGCTATCAATGATTATACTATACATTACCGCATCTTGTCCTTCAATCTTTCTAAGCAACTGAATGGCAGCTCTAGTTTCTCCCACTTTACATAATCCATTGATCAAAGTCCCATGACTAAATCGGTCCATCTGAAATCCCTGAGCTAGCGCCTTGTCACGAAAATGCAGGGCTCCCCTGACGTTGCCACCAAGACACAGACCATGTATGAGTGTATTGAAGGTTGCTGTGCTTGGCTGATAACCCAATCTGAAGATCCTTGCCAATACCGAAAAAGCTAAAGTCATGTGACGCATTTGGCATAAACAATTGATGTGAATGCTAAAAGTAAAAATGTTTGGCGCAATTCCCTTGAATCCCAATTGTTGAAAAAGGGAAATGGCAGTGTGGAATTGCTTGTTCTTAACAAGAGATGCCAAAATCTTGTTAAATTGCCTGATGGATGGGGAATGACGCATACTGAGCATGCGATTGAACGAGGCAACTGCATCGTCAACATCAACATTGTGAATGAATCTGGTTTGTAGCGAGGATGAAGGAAAGCAGAAGAGAAAAGAAGGAAACTTGAGATCAGAGGAACGGAGAGAAGAGCTTAACCTAGAGAATGACATTGTAAACGAATGGGCTTTAGGTTGACGTGATTAATCATGAATGGTGCCAGGGTTTTATTGGTGTTTGTTAGATTAAATTAAACTAAAAGAAGGATAATGGTAATATTTTAAATAATTATCACTTATTTTTATATTCTTTAGGATTTATTTTTTTTATATTTTTTTTATATTTTTTTTTATATATCAAAATTTGTATCACTTATATCTACAGTAATTATCATTATTTATTAATTAAAAATATATTTTTATAAATTAGTAAAGCATAAATATTTCAAAGAATATAAAAATATTTTTAAAAATTACTTTAAACAATATCATAAGTGTTTTTATATTTACAAAAATTTTACATTATTTGCTTTTTTTTTCCCCTATATTCCTAGGTTGCTTAGAGTATTAAAAATTTAATTTAAATAGTACTATACGTATTAGGCACTCAAAAATAAAAATAGTAGTAATTAGTTGATTGGATTATAATTGATATTTTCTTTGTAAATTCAAAAGACATTTATGATTAAGAATGCTTAATTGTACATATTATTAATTTTTTTCAATAATAATATATTTTTCATGAAGATTCTACAATTTATTAAATTTGAAAGTTATTTCTATTTTAAAATATATATTAATTTAAAAATTATAATAATTTATAGTTAATTATAATTTGTGTTAAAATAAATTTTTACAAATTTAGATTCATAAATTAAAAAACTATTATAACGTAACCAATTTTAGGATTTATAGACTTAAAATATTAAATTTATATTATTTATTTATTAAATTATTTAAATGACTCAAAAGTAAGTTTTAAAATTTTTATAATTTATTAAGTGTTTTTTCTTGTGTATCATGTAAAAAAATTTAGTCCTTTTTAAATAATTTATAATAAAAAATATTTACGATTGCAATTATATTCAAAGAATGACAAAATAAATGAATAATAAAGTAAAATTAAAAAAATTATATATATATATATATATATTTAGTTATACTAATTTTATAAAATAATTATTTATATATAATGTAAATATTTTTTTGTGATATAGATATTTATATTTTATTTATTTGAATAATATAAATATTTATATTAAAATTTTAATTTCTTGTATGAGAAAATTTAAAATATATTATAAGTTAAAAGATATAATGATATTATTTAAAAAATAAATATTTGTTATTTCAATAAATAAAACAGTATGATTAGATAAGTGTACGTGGTAAGTTTTATAAATTGGAAGTCTTTTTTTTATAAGCATCAATATTTTATTAAAGATAAAATCAGTATATAAGAGTATTTTAGTTTATTATATTTCTAATGGGAATTAAAAATATATGTCAATAAATTATTAATCTAATTCACATACACAGTAAAAGCTTTTTAAAGTTCTTGTAAGTCACTTTTAAGAATGATACTTAATAGAATCAATATTTTCACTAACGTTTAGTACACTGTTGTCAAAAAGAATATTAATATGGTAAAATCAAATTGTATGCTACAAACAACACAATTACAACTTCCTTTCATTTTTTTTTTCATATCGAATTTTATACATACTGAACAATGACTTCTACAAATTTTCAAGTAAGCATATACTGACACGAAACCATTTAAATATTATGTACCACAATATCTCGTAAAAATATCGCAATGCAAAAAAAAAAGTGCAGTATTTTCTCAATTTTTTATATCACACACATTCATGAGCTTCTGACGGAATCATCAACCCGCATTTGGTCAAATTCCTTTCCATGAAAAGTGCATTAAGCAACAAACACCACATGACTATCACTACTTTTTTTGATGCACTGATCTTCCAAATTTTGCATAATGTATGCATTAGACACAACTATAAATCGCTGCCTGCAGTGAAGAAATTATGAATATAGAGATAAGCGAATTGAGCATTGTATTCTTTATTATCATCACACTTCCACATCAATATGTCATTCATATTTTCTCTTAGTCTCTTTCCTTCCATAGTCTCCCACAACTCTGTTGTAAATCCTTATTACATGAAAAAATTGTCTTTTTCAAGGAATTTCACATACTTATTGACCCATCTCAAATCATCAATTATCCATCACCCGCACCTCCTTATCAATCGCTACTAAAAATAGCTTTGCATATAAATTTGCTAATACAATACTTTTCATCCATTTATCTCTCAAAAAACTAAAGGAATAATCATTGCCAAGAACTTGTGTGGCATTAGAATTTATCCACCAATTGGCTTACTTACAAACCCACACCACGCCCCTCCACTAATCCGAAGCATTATGAGTTACCTCCAAAGAAACTAACATATCAGCACATGAACCATACACTCGATGACATTTTCTAAAAAGATAAATAATATAGTGAAAGATTATTTAGAACAACATTAAATAGTTTTACTCTATCCCCAATCAAAATGTATTTGTGCTTCTAAGATGCTAGTTTGTGGTTAAGCACCTCAATAATCTTTTGCCAAACACTTTTTTTTGGGTTTGTCCCAAGATAGATGTCTAAATATTGAAAAAATAAATATACCACCTTCCAATTTAGAAAGCAGATGTCGTAGGATAGATGCCTAAATACTAAAAAGATAAAGATTCCACCTTACAATTTAAAAAGCAAGATGTCGTATCTAGAAAATCGTCTATCACATTCACCTTGGATTACAACTCTTATGAAAATTAACTTTAAACCTAGATATAAGCTTAAGCCTATCTAAAATAGCTTTTGTCATCCACAAATTTTGCTCCATAACTCTGCCTATAATTAAAGTATCTAGTTCCAAGTTATCTAATTAATTGAATTTTTATCTATTACATTTTTTATGTTATTCAATTTGATTTCTAATTTTTATATTTAAATTTAAACTAAATAAAGTCATAATTATAAATTTATATTAATTTTTCTATTCTATTATTATATAAATAATAAATATTATTTTAGAATATATGTATATTTTAAAAATTGAGTTTATTTGATTTATAATTTATACCAAATGATACTTTATAATTAAAATTAATATGTTTAATATTTTTTTCATATTTTAAAATCTTTAACTTTTTATTTAATAAATATTGTGTATTAAATATATATATATATATATATATATATATATATATAATATTTGTGTGAAACAAAGCCTTATAAAATATTTGTTAACTCTCTTATTCTCTTTAAAAATTACTTCCACAAAGTTTAAATTTGGAGACTAACTTCTTTCATAATAAATTCAATTTATTAAAGAAATTTTATGTAAATAATTTATTACAATAATTCAGTAAAAAAAAACATTACTTTAAACTTATCTTTGTCAACATGCAGAATCTATATATGTTAACAATAATTTAACATAAATATATCATTCAACAATAATCTGATTGAGGGATTTAAAAAACAAAATATTTATAAAATATAATTATAAAAAAATCATAAAAGAGAAAAGCATATTTTATCAAATTATATGAAAATACCACATAATTGATATTTAACAAATATATAATAAATTTAATTATTAAAGATTTAATTATAAAAATTTAGAAGTATAAATACTTAATTAATAATTTTTAAAATTATGAAAACCTATTTATAAATTAAAAAACTATAACGACTAATAAATAAATTTAAACAAAATGTTAATACATTTCAAAAAGAAATTCTTCATTTTTATCTAAACTATGCAATAATTAAAATTTATTAGTCTAATTCAAAGATATAAAAATAGTAAATAAACACTTTTCATTAAAAAAAACAATTCTAGTGATTTACTTTATCAATAATTAACTTTTTATACTAATCCTATAAAATAACTATTTATATATAATGTAAATATTTATGTCATATTTATATCTTTTTATACATATTCTTTTATTTGAGTAATATAAATATTTATATTAAATTATTAAATTTTTATTTTGCATTAAAAAATAAAAAAATTATAATTTGAAAGGTATAATAACTAAATTTTAAATAAAAGCAAATTGCTCATTCCAAAATTAGTGTTTAACTAGTGCGCTTGACAAGTTTATTCATGAATTTGAGAATATCTAATTAATAAGGTTAAAGAATTGATTTAAATTATTTTAATATGTTAAAAAAATTAAAATTGACTCAATCAACAATTAAAAATATATATTTTTATGCAATTCAGTTTAATATTTATTTTTCATATTCAAAATAAATTAAACTCAACCACAAAATTTATATTAATTTTTTATTCTATTATCATATAAAGATGATCTTATAATATATTATATTAAGTATATATTTTTTTTAAATTGAATTTTTTATTTTTAATTTAGTCTAAATTATGATTTTTAGTGAGATTAATAATTTTAACATTCTTTTTATATTTATTAAATATTTAAATTTTAATTTAATATCCATCATATCTTAAATAAAAGATTATATATTAATAAAATACTTAATTTATATTTTCATTAATTAAATTTTATTTGTTTCCTAACAAAAAAATATGAATGGCATCACTAAAAAGATAATGTAAAATATTGAAATAACTTATACAATTCAAATCATATAAGGTTTAATTTGGTTTGATTTTTAAATATATTCAAATTAAATCAAAATATTTATTTATAATTAACAATGTCTTTTTACCTTAAAATTGATTTAAATCAAATAAAAAAAAATACTTCATATCAATTATTTAAAATTTATAAAACTAAAATTTGATTCAATAAAATTTTTTTGTGTGGTATGTTGCACAAAATAATATATGAATAAAAGTTATTATTAAAAAATTTATAACAATTTAATCTTTATGTAATATCAATGCTTGTTTTTATAATTTAAATATTAATATTTTTATTTTTATAATTTTTTTTAATTTTTGTAAATTTGTTATTATTTCAACTTAACTACAATAAAAGTCCAAAACTTAAAAAAAAAGAAGTTAAGATGGCTTGAATAATATCAAATAAAATTTGAAAAAGAAAATTAATATATTACAGTTATATTAATTTAAATATAATTAATATATATTTTATATGACTAATTGTTATTTTGTCACTTTATCTATGTAATTTTAGTTGATTTGGTTATTAGAAATTATTACATTATCTCCTGAACTTATTAAAGTTTTATTATAAAAAGTGGTGACATAGAACTTAGTAAAAAATGTTAAAACATAAAAAAAAGTTGCAAAAAAAAAAAAAAAAAACAGAAGTGAAATAAGTAAAAGGTTTGAAAGGAACACCGTTACACGAAAGCACACCAACACGCCCTTGCTCCATTATATGATTTTAGAACGCAACAAAAAGTGTGACGTCCAACATGATACTAGATTATAATTTAAGATTCTGTAACAAATGAAAGTATTTTAATGACTATATTGTTTGAGCCATTTTTCTGATTTGCAAGCAAAGCAATGAGGAAGGAAAGTAGAGAATGCAGCAGAAAAAAAGGAAACTGGATAATGCTTATTCCTTCACTGGTTTGACATCTGGATTCTCATGGTTTTGAGTCACATGTCAGCTATTATTCTTGACGAAATGTTCCATAACAACTGCAAATAGAAAGCATCTCAATTAGTTTTAATCTCACAATAAGCCTCTAACAATCATTTCATCAGAAAGAGCACGGATAAGTATGCCAAAAGTTATAGCATCAGGATTCCAACCATTCTCTTCCATTTTTTATTGTAAGGACAATGCTTCATCAACCATTCCCTCTTTACAAAGCCCATTGATCATAGCATTATATGATGTTGCATCCAGAGGATACCCATTATTCAATAAATCCTGAAAAATCTCTTGTGATTCCTTCCGTCTTCCGCCTTTGCATAGTCCATCAATAAGTATTGTGTATGTGTATGCATTTGGATGAATGCCCTTTTTTATAAGTATTGTAGGTAATTATACCAGCATGTTGACCCCTATCATCCATCTCATCAATAAGATTAAGAAATTCTCCCTAATTTGCACAAACCATCGATAAGAGAATTGTAAGTTACTGTCTCTGGAACCATACTTTTGCATTGCATGTTTACAAAGAAAATCATGGCTTCATCCACCATTCTAATCTTGCATAATCCACTAATCAGTATGCTGTAGCTATGTGCATTAGGGGTTACCCCATTTCGGATCATGTTGTTGAATACATATTAGGGGTTTCTCCCACTTTACATAATCCATTGATTAACGTCCCATAACTAAATTGGTCCATCTGAAATCCTTGAGCCAGCGCCTTGTCACGAAAATGCAGGGCTCCACTGACGTTGCCAAAGACACAGACCATTCATGAGTGTATTGAAGGTTACAGTATCCGGCTGATAACTATCCTGGCCAATATATATAATTATGTTAATATCTAAATCATAGATATTTTTTAAATATTTTATAAATTTTACAATCAACTACTATATTAATAGTATTATTATTTATTAATAAAATTTACATATAATCATTTTACAGGTTAAATATGATAATTGATTGAGTCTTTTATAACTATATATATGTTTTTATTCAATAGACAATATTTATTAAACAAAAAGTTACAAATTTAAAAATATAAAAAATGTTAAGCATATTAATTTTAATTATAAAGTATCATTTGGTATAAATTATAAATTAAATAAACTCAGTTTTAAAAATATATATGTATTCTAAAATAATATATATTGTTTATATAACAATATAATAGAAAAATTAATATAAGTTTATATTTATGACTTTTTTAATTTAATTTTGAATATAAGAATTGGAAATCAAATTGAATAATGCAAAAAATTATAATTAATAATTTATATCAATTATTTAATTCAACTAAAGATAACTTAAAATTTATGAAAAAAAACTTATTTCATACACTTATCTAATCTTACTGTTTTATTTGTTGAATAAATAGATATTTATATTTTAAGTAATATTATTATATTTTTTAATTTATAATTTTTTATTTTCAAAATTTCTCTCTTATACTAATAAGAGATTAAAATTTTTAATATAAATCTATTTAAATTTTGTCACACATTTGTTAAAAAGGGAGAAAGATTTCATATGCTTGAAGAAGAAATTGTAGAGTCTCTCGACGACGTTGTTGTGTACAAATTTGACCTTCTCTTAATCTCACTAATAAAATGAGAATGAGAGGGGTAGAAATGCATGGTGGGTAGACACTTGTGAGAGCTGAGGAAATCATAATAAAATTTTGTCAATTACATCAATCGAGTAAAAATGTTACCAACATTTTTTTTTACAAATTTTTTGGAGAGTCATAGTGTTCACATTATGACAGATATTTTAGAGGTATGGAAAGATTGAGAATTTGTTTACTCTAAAGAAATGGGATAAGAAGGGATGTAGATTTGGACTCGTGCAGTCTGTGGAGGTCAAGTATGTCCACAATATGGAAAAAAAGGTTGAATTTCATAACAATAGATAACATGCAAATGATGGTGAATGTGTCTTGATATAGCAAAAAAAGTAGTAAGCACAGTACCAAAGGACAAACTCATGATGGGGTGCGTGTAACTTATCGCTACATTCATATTTACTTCATTGCAGGTAGTGATTTGAAGTTGTGTCTAGTGTAGGCATTATGCAAAATTTGAAAGGTCATTGCACTGAGAAAAGTAGTGGTATTTGTGTGTTTTCTATTGCTTAATGCAATTCCAGTACTGAGAAATTTAACCAAACATATATTGACGATTTCTTTATAAGCTTGTGGATTTTGTGATATCAAATATGAGAAGGTACTGCACCTTTTTTTGCATTGCGACACTTTTATGAGACTTAGATACATGGTGTTTGAATAATTTAGTGTCAGTATATGTTTACCTGAAAATTTGCATGAGACATTACTAAGTATGTGTGAAATTTCATATGGAAAAAGGAAATGAAACAGAGTTATAATGATGTGGTTTGCAGTAGTATGAATTATTTAGCTTCAAAAGAATAATATTATCTTTAATAAATGTTAGTGAAATATTTAATTCTATTAATTATCGTTCTTGAAAATGGCTCACGTCAAAACTTCTGAGAAGCTCAAATGTGTATATAAATTTGATTTTTTAACATGTATTGTTAATTTTTTTTTAGAGATGTAATGGGTTAGAGTATCCCTTAAACTTAGATTTTATCTTTAATAAAATGTTGATGCTTAACAAAAAAAATAATTTAATATAAATATTTATATTATTCAAATAAATAAACGTATGTACAAGGATATAAATATTTATATCACAAAAAATAAATATTTACATTATATATAAATGGTTAGTTTATAAGATTAGTATAAAATATATTTATTGATAAAGTCAACCACAAAAATTGTTAATTTTTTTAAATATTTTTCATTAAAAAAGTTTGTTTATTATTTTTTATTATTATTAAATTAAGCTAATTGTTGCACTATTGACAAGAATGAATATATATATATATATATATATATATATATAATTTATTATTTTATTTATCGTTAGATATAAATTAAATGAAAGGCTCAGAATAAATGTAAGAAATTTTAGACTTATAACAATGCGAGAAGATTTTTCTCTGACATTAATATAATTATATAATATTTATGTGAAACAAAGTCTTATAAAATATTTGTTAACTTCCTTGCTCTCTTTAAAATTACTTTCACAAAAGTTTAAATTTTGAGACAAATTTCTTTCAAAGTAAATTCAATTTTTTTTAAAAAATTTATAAATAAATTATTACAACAAATTAGTAAAAAAATAAAAAAAAACACCAATTTAAACTTGCCTTTATCAACATGCAGAATCTAAATATGTTAACTGATTGAATGATTTTAAAAAAATACTTATAAAATATAATTATAAAAAAATCATAAAAAAGAAAAAGATATTACCAAATTATATGAAAATACCACATAATTTATATTTAACAAATATATAATAATTTTAATTATTAAAAATTTAATTATAAAAATTTAAAATTATAAATACTTAATTAAAATTATTTAAATTATGAAGACGTAATTATAAATTAAAATACTATAGAGACTAATAAATAAATTTTATCAAAATGTTAATACATTTCAAAAAGAAATTCTTTAGTCTTACGTTAATTATATAATAATTAAATTTTATAAGTCTAATCTAAAGATATAAAATAATAAATAAATATTTTTCATTAAAAAATTAACAATCATAGTAATTTACTTTATAAAAAATTAATTTATTTTTTATACTAATTTTATAAAATAACTATTTATATATAATATAAATATTTATTTTATATTTATATTTTTTATACACATAAATAATTATAACTTGAAAGATATAATAACAAAATTTAAAATTAAAAAATTACTCATTCCAAAATTAAGGCATTAGTGCTTAACTAATGCGCATGACAAGTTCTTTCAAGAACTTGAGAATATCTAATTAATAATGTTAAAGAAATAATTAAAATCATTTTAATATACTAAAAATTATTGAAAAAATTGAAATTGAATAAATAAAAATTATTATTAAAAAATTTATAATATATAAATAAAAATTATTATTAAAAAATTTATAATACTTTAATTTTCGTGGAATATCAATGTTTGTTTTTATAATTTAAATATTAATATGTTCTATTTTTATTTTCTTTGTAAAATTTATAAATTTGTTATTATTATAATTCAGGTACAACAGAAGTGCAAAATTTTTGAAAAAAAAATTAAGATGGCTTGAATATTATCAAAATAAGATTTGAAAAAAATAATTAGTATGTTATAGTTATATTAATTTAAATATAATTAATATTTAGTTTATGTGAGTAATTTAGCTTCTAAATGAAAATAACCACGTTTCCTTGTTCCTTAAGGATTTGTGTTTATTTGCCGCCACTGTACCTCTCGTCACAGGCGAGCCAAAACCGCAACGATGTTCTGCGTGCGTCACCCGAACACGGTGGCGCATCGACGTTTCAATCCTTCTATGGAAATTCAAACCTCTGCTTCGCCCTTTCTCGTTCTTCACCTTCACTCGTTCCCTCCAACCACCGCCACGCGCCACGCTCTCTCACTCTCCAACTTCAAACCTCTCCCACTCTCTGCGCAACAAAATCACGCGCCACCCTCGCTGCCATTACCACTCCACGCCAAAACGACGCGTTTCGGTTACGACCCTTCCAACGAGGCGCGTCTTATTGATTTGTATTTTCAGCGCGGGAAGGTAGAGCTTGCGCGCCAAGTGTTCGATGAAAATTCCGAACGAGATGTTGGCGTGTGGAGTGCTATGATCACTGGTTTTGCTCGCAATGGAATGCCAAGGAAAGCGTTGGAATATGCAAGGTTAATGGTAGAGGAAGGAATAAAGCCAAATTTGGTTGCAATGACAGTTATTCTTAATGCGGTTGGAGAAGTTTGTGCTCAGAAGTTAGGTCGGGAGGTTCATGGAGTTGTTGTGAAGATGATATTGTTTTATGAGGAATTGCCAATTCTATCGGCATTGATTGATATGTATTGGAAATGTGGTGATATTGGCTCGGGAAGCCGAGTTTTGTATAGCGTGATACTGAGGAACGATGGTTGTTGGATTGGATTGATGTCAGGGAGACTTGAGGTGGCAATGAGGTCCATGATTCGGTTGAAAAAGTTCCGGCCTGGTGTTGTCGTGGTTGCTTCGTCACTTCCGATTTGTGCGCAGTTGAGGGCTCTGAGACAGGGGAAGGAGATTCATGCTTATGCTTTGAAACATTGGTATTTACCTCACGTGTCCATTGTTGCTTCATTGATGGTGTTGTACTCTAAGTGTGGTGTGATTGAGTATTCTGTGAGACTGTTTAATGGAATGGAGGAGAGGAATGTGATTTTGTGGACTGCCATGATTGATTCGTTTGTGGAAAATGGCTGTGTGTACGAAGCGCTTGATGTCATAAGGTCAATGCAATTGACAAAGCATAGGCCAGATACAGTTACCATGGCTAGGATGTTGCGTGTTTGTGGCAAGCTAAGACTTGTAAAGCTTGGGAAGGAGGTTCATGGGCAGGTATTGAAAAGGGGTTTTACATCAGCGCATTATGTGGCTGCAGAACTTATCAATATGTATGGGATTTGTGGTGTTGTTAATAAGGCGAAGTTGGTGTTTAGTGCAGTTCCTGTTAAAGGTTCAATGACATGGAGTGCTCTTATAAGGGCCTATGGATATAAAGAATGGTATCGAGATGCAATTGACCTTTTTGATCACATGATAGCAAATGGTTGTTCTCCAAACCGCTACACTTTTGAATATGTTCTGTCTATTTGCGATAGAGCTGGATTTGTTGAAGATGCTTTTAGGATCTTTGATTTATTGTCAAGATATAAAATTGAAGCATCTGAGGAACACTGCATTATAATGATTCGACTTCTAACTCGCTATGGTAAATTAGACGAGGCTCAAAGATTTCTAGAAATGAGTTCTTCCTTATAGCAGTGGGTCACATGCAATAGGATTTTCTCTTTTGAATGATTTATAGATAGTTAAAATTCTTGCACTACAGTTTTTATGAGCTAGCTGCAGCTGTTTAAAGTGACATTGAGCAGACATGTAACTTTTGGCTAGGGATATTCAAGTTTTAAGTATAGTGTCATACTCAATAGCATAACTGTATCAAAATTGTAAAGTTGCTTTAACTTAACATATGATTGCTTAAATGCTTTGATTTGCTGGAAGCAAATTTATTTTTCAGTTGCCATTTGCCAATTTTTAATGAGCGACTTCACCTGGTAGAAGCATAATGAACTTCACCTGATAGTTGAATTGAGAAGTCCAATAGTTTTTATTATTATTATGAGCATTTTAGCATGCTTATTGGATTTTCTCTGGTTGATAAGGTGCTGAGAAGGGAATTTTGTGAATTTCTTTAGGTTCAATGTATCTATTGTCAAAACTATCACATGGGTAGGTGCGTCTGTCCTTTTGGAGACCAGTGTGAAATTTGCCTTGTGCTAATGCTAAAATGAGTTTTTTTTTTCTTCTAATTCTCGGTTCCGTGATGGATGGTTGTTTTGCCTTCAATTTGCTTTTGGTTCTATTTTCCATTCATTGCACGTCTTGCTTATAGACCAATTTTCCTTTTAGTTTAGATTGCAGGGTTCTTGTAGTTTTGCCATCCTTGTGCAAGTGCTGTCTCAAAGGTGCTCTATATATGGTGAGCTGATCTTCTTGCACGTATTATAAGATCACTTCTGAAGGAATGGTATATTTTCCACACTAATTCTAGTACATGGATTATTGATTTTCTATTCCATCCTTTCTTTTTTGGTATAATGGGGCTGGACGGTAATTGATTTTGATAACCAAGTTAATGTTCCACCCTTCATCTTCAGCAAAATTTCTCTGCTCCAGGTGGAAAATCATGATGAGGAAACTCGTTTAGTTTTCGTTACTGCAATTAAAATTACAGTTCTAAATTGGAGACGCATATTTTTCGGTACTTATGCCAGTATAATGGTAAAATAACTTGGAAAAGTTAATAATAGTTAACAATTTATTTATTCTCAATAATTTCAACCCGAACTCATGGCTCTAATATTTAAAGTGCCCAAATTTTAATGTCTATAAACTACGTCTCCAAAAATTTCAATTTGCGATTAGATACTTTCAGACACAGGCTATATATCTCGGAGACAATTTTCGTGTTTTCCTTTCAGACTGTTGCAAAAGATCATTAAAATCTGCGTCGTGCTCTTTCAGCATCAATTATTTTTTATTCACAAGACGTGAATAACCCAAAATCTTCCTTAAAAATAAACCGAGATCACTGTTAACAGGTTACATTTGGTTACCCGTTCCACAAAGTATGATCAATTTGCAAGATAAAAACGCTGGCATAAATTTCTAAAAATAGTCAATTTTTTACCAGAAAAATTTCTTAACTTTTTAAAAAATACTAACTAATAATCAAACAATGAAATCTCAGGCAAGTTGATCGGCATATTTTCATTTTTCACGAAAATCGATTCTGCAGTGTATGGAAACACATGCTGAACAAATTTCGGAGACCAATTTGTGTTGGATTTTTCTTATTCTAAGAGAATAATCAATTTTGCAATAACCTTCAGAAAGATTTAAAACATACATTATTTATTTTTCCTAAAATTATCCTGCTCCGGAACACGAGTATCAAATATTTAACCCTAAACACTTCACATCAACGCGTAAGCTCCATAGCATAACTAAGAATCAGCGTTGACCCAACCACATGCTCTATCGCTTTTTTCTTTTTTAAAAATATCAAAAACTAAAAATAAAAACGAGAAGCATACAAAATAAGTTGGAATTAGTGAACAAACACAACGATTTTTGTTAACAACAATCTCTAAACTCTTTAACATAATATAAAGGGAATAAGAGCGAAACTCACATAAAAGGATAACAATAGAACCATAAGAAACGCTATCTTGAGGGAAGGTTCAAGAATCCTTAGAAGAAGGCGCGTGATCTGGGGACTTTGGGGGTGAATCGGGCCCGCGGGGCTGGCGATAGCGCGTGACGAAGATGTTGATGAGGCTGTAGAAATGGTAGAACAACTGAGCCATCAGCAACAGTACTAAGCACAAAACGATGAAATCCATTCTCAAATTCCGAAGAAGAAGTGAAGCGAACGGAGGATTCGGTTTCGGTGCAGCCTTCAAATTAGGGTAACTATGAGGAAGTTTTTACTAATATAATATAAAAATAAAATAAAATTACCTGAATGGACCGGTCCTCACAAAATTTACAGAATTAAACCCAATTACTGTAGTAATAATTGGGTAGCCAGAATTCGGTTCCTTGGCAACCGAATTCTGGAAGTTGAATTTTGATTGTTTTTCAATTTTTTAAATATTTGTATATAAATAAATAAATTTAATTATTTAAATTATATTTATATATTTATATTCTATTATGTGAAAATAAATAAAAATAAAAATAATATTTATTTTACATATTTATTAATTATTTTACATAATTATGATAATAAATAATATTTTTATTTTTGTTATCATATTATTTAATATAATTTTAATTTTTGTAAAACGGTATTAATATTATATTCTGAAATTATATTTTTGTTTATTTAATATTATTTAAAAAAATTACAATAATCTAATATTTATGTTTATATATTTATATTATGTCAATCTGTGTGACAGATTTTGATTGAGAAAATCGACTTCTAAGCCGCTCTCCAAAGTCTACTTATAAGAGCGGTTAAGTAAGAACCGTTCTCCAAAGTCTATATCTAAGAGCGGTCAGTTTTGAACCGCTCTCCAAAGTCTATATCTAAGAGCGGTCCATTTTGAACCGCTCTCTTAAGTCTAATTCTAAGAGCGGTTCCAATTGAACCACTCTCCAAAGTCGTACACGCTGGGCTGATGTGGAGGATTTAGAGAGCTGTTCAAAACCAACCGCTCTCAGTATTCGAATTTCGAGAGCGGTTCGTTTTGAACCGCTCTCAGAAGCTTCGTAACTTCTATCCACCATTACCTATCTTCTATCTTCATTCTCAATAGGAGTTCCCTGTTGGGAAGTGAGTTCTATCTCTCAACATAATGTAGCAAGATTCCTCAAGTATTAATTAACATAATATAAATATTTATTTTCACACAATATAAAAATAAAAATATAATTCAAATAATAAATTTTATTTTATTATTTAAAACTATTTTTATTATTAAATTTGACAATATATAATTATTATATAAACATAAATATTAGATAATATTTTTTATTATATATAAAAACAAAAATACAAATTATGTATGGAATTTGGTGAGATTTTTACATAAATAATATTAAAAATTATAATAATAATTGAAGAATTTTAAATTTGTATTTGATAAAAATTAAAATAATAATTTATTTAATTTTATATTTTTATAAAATAAATAAAAGTATTAAATAATAATAAGATTATTTATTTAATTTGAGATATTAATCTTTATTAAAATTTATACATAATTATTTATTTAAAAAATATTTTATTAATATTAATAAACATTATTAAATAATATTATGTAGATATATATATATATATATATATATATAATATTTAATCTAAATTACTAATACTAAAATTTAGAAGTTGCAATGACATTCATAGAATTAAAAATTACATGAAGAAAATTTTAAAGTAATAACAACAACATAAATCAATGACGGGAAGTAGAAGCTTGAGTAATGTTTGGACATGTCTTCCTTGTGTGACCAGGGGTGTGACAATAAGAACAATTTTTTTGCCGACTTTGTTGTTCTCTAATGTCCATCTCTGTCCTTATCCTACTAGACTTGGGTCGACCTTTTGAAGTTCTTTTCAGTTCTGGATTTGGACACAAAGTTGGGCCCGTGTAAGTTGGCCAATAGTCTTCATGTCTGAGTTCTCCAAACTGACCTTCGTATACCTTAGAAACTTGTTGTAAGGTATACACGGGAGATATGTATATGTCAAAGTTGTGGTGTGCGTATAAGCATGAAGCAAGTACATGCGAGCATGGGATGTGAACTTTTTGAAACTTGCCACAATCACATTACATTTCATCTAACCGTACGGTAAATCTTCCTACGGGTCGAATTTCTATCGGATGTTGCATTTCTTCGACTAAAAATCTAGTGCTTGTTCTGTCAAAGGTGATGACTCTATGAGTGTTTGCATTTGACTGTGCATCTTGAATTGCTTTAGTTGCAACCTCCGAGTACATATGTCCAGCATTAATCATTGCATTTACTTCTCTGCCTCTGTCAATAAAGAACTTATTGCAACGGGTGTATGTTGCCAGGACCATGGAGCAAATTGGCAAGTTTCTGGTTTTTTTCAAGACCGAATTGATTGACTCCGCTAGGTTTGTTGTCATGTGTCCCCAACGTCGTCCATTGTCCCATGCCAGTGTCCATTTTTCCCTTGGGATGTTGTCCAACCATTGTGCAGCTTCAGGATTATTATCTTTTACTATGTTGTAATAGTAAAAGAATCTCGGTTCAGTCATCCCATATGCTGGAAACAAGATTACAAAAAAAATTAATATAACTAGCAAAGCAATTGTATAAAATATTAATAAGAATATAAAGTACGTAAAAAATTAAAATTACCTATATTGACGACATCTTTCTTCAGTGCAGCGTTTTTGAATCGTCGCATGAAGTTTTGTGCAATATGTCTAATGCAATAGACATGGACAGAATTGTTTTCCGTCCAATCACTTCCATTTTTGGAGTATGCACTTCTTATGGCCTCGTGACGATCCGAAATGAGGCACAACCCCTCTTGCGGAGTTACGTACCTCTTTAAGTTTTTCAAAAAAAAGAACCATGCATCGCTAGTTTCACCTTCTACCACAGCAAAGGCAATGGGGATTATGTTGTTGCGGCCGTCTTGCGCAACTGCCACTAATAAAGTCCCTTTGTATTTGCCATACAAAAATGTTCCATCCACTTAAACAATTGGTTTGCAGAAGGCAAAACCATCAATGCATGGCTTGAAGGTCCAAAATAACCTCTTGAAGAACACATTCCCCTCGTCAAGCAAGCCACCCTTGTATGCTGGTTG